CAGCATTGGAATTAAAATGGAATCATTTTAAAGCATCTTCTCTGCAAAAACTCCAGAAAGTTCTCAAATCCTCAGCCCGTATTTGTCAAACGGCCAGTAGTCACTGATCCCACTTCACACATAAGACTGAAGCAAAGAAGAGTCAATGATCCAGTCAAGATGTGCAAGTTAAGCCGGGAGCCTGACTTTGCTGCGAGTCAGTCACTCACAAAGGCAGCACAAGCTGCTTCACATTGTAACGAAGAACTGCTTTTGTTTGTTTAGGTGTATTTTTTCCTCTTGTAACCACGCTGGAGCATCTTTTATATAATATAACCAATACGATCCTTTACTTTCAAAGGGACTAAAATACTAGGAATGATGCCTGCATTTTGCTATAAACTGACTTGTGCTATTGGAGGAATGTCTAAGAAAGGATGACTGATACCAACAATCGTGCCAGAAATTCGTTTTTAGGACTAGTCTGGATTCGATGTTACACTTAATGGAAGATACTGAAAATAAAAATTAGTAATTTGAGGTAATCTAAAAATATAGCACACTAAAATATTAAATAGTAGTGAAAAATCAAAGAGATAGTAGTTTTAAGCGAAACTAGAAACTTGCTTTTATGAACAGGTTTAGGTTATTATCTTTGAAAAACTAATGGGCCAGAAAGGAAAGCAACTCTTTGTGGTGATTATAAGAACAAAACCTGCAACTTGCATGCATTTTTTAAAATACAGCCCGCAGTAAATCAAATGCAAAAGTATTCCTAATGCCTAAAAAAATCCTAATGGTGCTAAATACAACTTGCCATTTTGACTTTATCTGCAAAGACAGAACATCTGGCACGCTTCTGGCTAGACAAACCTTATTCAGAGCTACACTACTGAAAAACATGAACTGATTCCCAGACGCTCAAAGCAAGCGTAAAAGCAGAAGTTTCCTATATGCCTACATTAAACAGTTCTTCTTAGGTTACTATAATCAAAATAAATACATTGAGAGAGTTAATGTTTTCCAGAATGTTTTCTCATATAACAACTTCTAAAAAGCAGAAATTCTGTGTTTTAAATTTTATATCTTGATTGTAATTAAGAAGAAACTTTTTACTTATGGCAACTACTGCAAATGCGCCCAAACCTCACATAACAGGAGCCCTTTCCTTGAACTATTTATTAATACTGATAAGGCAATAAAATATCAATTGGTGAATTCATCAGGAAACTGCTACATATTTTGACCAAGTTAAAGCTCAACTGTATTTGCATCATCCTAAAAAAAAATGGGAAACTGAATGTCACGGGGAAATAGCAGCAGAAAGGATCTGTATTGTTCCACAGAAAATGATCTACTGCCACCAATAGAGTATCTGATCAAGCAAACAAAAAAATTCCTCCTGCAAATTAAAATAATAATAATAAAAGGCAATTTCAATAGTCCAAACTTGCTATTACTCTTGAAAAGGGTTGTGAAAATCTTTTTTGCCTCTCCTCACAAACTACAGATACTACATACTACTGGAGAAAACCAACTAAACAAATATTCCCGAGTGACAACATACTGCATTCAGTGGTCAAACTGATTGCTAGCTTATAGCAAATCCACATGCTTTTCAGGACTAAGAACAGTAAGAATAATCACTAAGATTCTAATATAGTGCATGAACCGAGCCTAAACTACCAAATGTTACATTGGTCTTGCTGTTTCTTACATTGCGATGGATAAAGATTATGCATGATAAATTGTGGCTGTGACAATGACTGCTTCCATCCATCATTCCAGGCTTCTCTTATTCCAACCATGTGATTGAGTTGAATCAAGTTTATGACATCTTGGCAGGGAGAATCCTACAGAAGCTAATATCTAGATTGAATACATGAATAATGTATTTATTCTTCATAAAAGCCAAAAATGTTAATTTCAAGAACAAGGGATCTCTCTCTCACTTGGCTGAACCAGAGTAAGATGAAATATTTTTTAAAGTCCTAGCAGATCATTCACAAAACATTTTTAAAGCTTCTTAATTACAGCAGCATTTATATTACCCCTGAAACCGCAGCTGATCTCCAGATGCCATTAAATTAAGAACTGCACAAAGATCCTAAATTAGGAAGAAAAGCGTGCCTCGCAGAGCCCGGGGCTGGCGGAAGCCGCAGGCCGCACGCCGCAGCCTTGGCACGGCGCGCGGGCACGGCCAGCGCTCTGCCGGGGGCCGCGTTCTTGGCTGCGAAGGCAGAGCGTGCCCTCTGTCACTCACGGCGAGCAGGCCTGTCCAACTGTCTCTTTTCGACAACTTTATCATCAATCTCTTTATTAACAGCTCCACTGCAGACTGAGAACGCAAACAAGGACAAGGCGCATGCCAGATTTCTGGAAGGCGCGCAGCATCAGACATCATACCGGGCACAATTTTAATGAATTTGAAGCAGAAGCTACACCTCCAAACACACATTTGCTTTTAAGGAAGCACCTTTCTAAATAAAAAGGATGAAGATAAAGCAAACTTTGCTACTTCAGGTGGAGGGGTGGGGAGGCAAAGGGGCAAGGGGGAAGGTTCTTCAAATGTCAACCCCTCAGCCAGCCCCATCTAAACAGATTATTTTTTTCCCCCAGCTCAATTTAAATAGCTTTACCAATGGAGAGCACATGAATATAATTTTATTCAACTTTTAATAGCTCATCATTTATGCATGAAAAAGGGTATTTTATAGGCTTTAACACATACTGTAGGTGGGGCAAACATCACCAAAATAAATGAAACAAAAGCTTTTGACTGATAAGTTGACTTTTAACTATGTACAATATTTAAGTGGTCTAACCAAATAAATAAATATTTTAAAGTGACGAACAAAATGCATTCATAAAATAAATGTGCTAGCTTGCAAGTAAGACAAAAAGACATCTGTACTAGGAAGCTGTCCAGTATCTTTGTGGGCCACTGTTATTATGGGGCAGTTTAAATGCATTGGGTATTTTCTTAAGCTGAAAATAACAAACACACACAGCTTATTTAGCCAACAAGTTGGGAGTTTTATAGCCCTACATCAATAGTGATTTGCCTTTTTTACTTTCTCTATTAGTTATGTGAATTCAAAATCCTATTTAAAAACAGCAATTTATTGTAAAACAAATCTTGATGATATCTGTATTATACCATTAAAAACGTTTTCAAATCATTAGGAAACTTATATTTGACTTTTCTAAATGCAGTTTCTTTACAGCTTACCAGGCAAAAACTTGAACCACAGGGATGTTCTTAGCTTATTTAATACAATCAAATAAAGCACTGAGATAATAAAAATATTTAGGTCATTAAAGAAAAAAATGCTGAAAGGAAACTGTGACCTGGTTAATTCTTTTAGAAATAGAAAAACTTTCCCAAAGATAGCATTCCTGAATTTAGCCAGAACAATACCTATAAGCCTAAACTTCATTAAAAGAAAGAGTCTAAATATCCAAAAAACAGATGGGACATCCAGCAGTAGTTCAATGTATTATCTTCTTCATCATTAAAAAAAAAAAAAAGTCCCTCTGAAGTTTGATATCAAAGTTTGCATTCCTTTGCCAATCATAGTGGCAGATGTTTGATGTTTGCAGTTATTTCAAATTATTAGTTTGAACTTTGTAAATGTAGCAAACTGCATCTGCCTCTATCAGCAAATCCTAGAAGCTTTGTTTCTATTGAACAGATCCTTAATTCTGCTAAGATGATTAAACTAAAAAAATTTACTTATGTTTTCCCAAAGTGAACACACAGATCTTTAAAAAGTGAGCCTGCAGCATACACACATACTGCATTTGTCGTGTTCATGAGCGCACCCTCAAGACTTGTGCATTTAAGTGATAGATTTTTATTAAGTATCATTCAGCTGCCACAATGCCACAGATGAAGCACAGCAAAGCTACTCACCTAGGGTTTCCACAGGGTGCCAGGAATCCTTTACCACATGGAAAACCTTTAGTAAGAAATGACAAAACTCCCCAAAAATATGAATTATAAGTAAACAATCATATCCTGCTTCCTCTGCATGCCATAGGTTTTTTCTGTATTTAAGTACAGATTCCAGCTTCAGTAGAGTGTAATATACTCTTGCTATACTGAATTGTTTTTGGTTATTCTAGAAGGTGAAATATTCAGTCTCAACTTTGTATTATTGAATAAAATTGATATGTGCATTCAGATGTATTTATTAAGCAACTGGTACCTCTCATTAATTACCCAGCTGTACCCAGCATCTAGAACAAAATCACCTCAAAACAATGGCCTATGGCCTTCAAAAAACCCCACAATACTAAGAAATTGCCAATGACACTCTCTACCTACAGCAGTGAAACACAAGCTTAAATTCATCACCTCAAAAGTCTAATGCAAATCAGGAAGGCCAGTGTATCTAAAACCATGGGAGTTGCAGGTTGTTAACGTTGAACATTTTCCCTACAGCAGCAGTTTTGAGCTTCTTGCTTGAAGATTTTTTGAGTCCATGAACTTACTTTTGGATGTATCACAGGTAACTTAGTAACATAATCCTGCCAGTAGATTCAGATACACTGACCAGGAATCTATTCCTACTACTAGCAGATTATTATTGTCTGAAAAAATAAGGGGAATTAATGTCATAAATAACATCACCTGAGGGAAAAAGGACACAGGGTGGACAACATATAAAGATGATTCATTTGTTTTAAAACAAGTGACTGCATGCTGTGAAAAAAATACACACAACACAAAGGTTTAGGCAGGGTAATTGTAACATGAGGTCCACAAGTATCAGTGGTACGGGCAGTTAAAGAAAAAGTCCAAAATCAGGCTCCTCATTAAAGTTACTCACATCAAGCAATAGGTAGGATTGGGCTCATGCTGATACAAAGATCAATCAAATGATGCACAGCTATTTGTAATTTTTACTTTTATTTCAGGGCAAGCTTAAACTATTTGACAAGAAGAGAAATAGTGCCATCTGCTGACAAAAGGAACAAAGAGTCACTTGCCAGGGAAGCAAGTGTAAGTTTCCAAGACTTTTACAGTTAGTGTTTTAAATAAAGTTTAGTTCAAACTTTCAGAGACAACAGTACACCCCCAGATTGTTTATACATGCGTTTCTTCTAGTTTTGCCATCCCTTAAAGAACTCAGTATTTTGAAATGGAGTCCTAATCCGGAGATAGGGAAAAAAGATGCTCTTAGAATGCGTTTGTCAATAAATTCTACCTGCAGATCCAAACCCCCAAATCCACCAAACACACAATTTTTCCCTTTAACAGACTGAAACTTAGCATCCTGTTGTTACTTCCCAAATCCAACATCAGGTTTATTTACAGAATATTCCTTTATGCAGTTTTTATTTCTCTAGGTGCTATTGTATTTTATATTCACCAAAAAATTTAACAGGCAACTTGTAATTCAGAGTAAAAGTTGTTTTGTACATTGAGAAGAATCAGGCCGCTATGGGATTGTGCTGTTTTTTATTGTGTTTTCAATGGAGAAATACATCATCTGTTTACAAAATAGCTCTTGAAAAATACAAGGAGTACAGATACTATAAAACAAAGCAAACTCCAGTCATGAGACACTACGTACATCATGCGAAAGCAACAGTCTGATCTCCAGGTTATGAAAACTAGAATTAAAAAGTCACTATACAGAAAGATTCCAAGTTTCCAGCTTGGTAAAACTTGGGTGCAGTTACATGAAACGTTTAATAAAATGAAAAAGATCTTCTGATGTGTAAACAAAATGACAAGACTAAATTTGTGCCTGGCAATTTCGATCTAAACTCCATAGCTACACAAAATACACAGACACCTTGTACACTTCAACTGTTAATATAACCTTCTTTGGGGGTGGACGACAGCAGGCTGCACAGGCCAAGGTAAAAAGAAGTACTGTTTACTAGACATCTCAGACAAATGGCAAAAGAAAAAACCCTTCAGTTACTGCACAGCCTAAGTAAAAGATAAGCTACACTCTGACTTTGGAAAATTAATTTAGAAGGATAAGGGGAAGAGTGTAAGTATTTTAATTTTAACATGAAAGATGCATGTGTAATAGGATGGAGCACAATGGGAGAAGGGAGTTCATAAAACATGCTAATCAAAATATGAGAAGTATGATTTGACATCCCACTTATTTCAGGCTAAGTAACAGTAACATGAAGTTTGTTATCTACATCTGGTATTACTGCTGATATCCCTCACATTCCTCAAATACTGATGTTCTTTGCCGTGAGAGACTCAGTTCTTTTAAAAGAAAAAGTTGTTACTAATCTTTTGGATAGGACTACAGAACAAAAGATAGGAGTAAGAGAGCTTACTAGATGTCAAGTGCTTGCAAGAAATATGATTTTTAAAAGTTCAATGTTGTTCAGTATGTAAAACTATTTCTGATGAGCCATCTAAAATAAAAAGGTTAAAATTCTTGGGGAAAAAATCTTTTTGCCTTTATTTAAAATCTGCAGCTTTTTAATGCATACAGGACTTTTCTGGAGTGTACAAAAATCATCTTATATTTAGTGATCCAAAGGCCATCAAAAGGGGTGTTATTTCTCACAGGCACACAATATTTATTTGAACTTTTTAATCATGGGATAAAATTTTGAATTTGTGCCTACAAGCCACAGGTATTGTTGTAAGGTAAGTGGGAAAAAAACCTCAACAAATTAAGGGTTTTTCTTGTTCTTCTTTGTTATAACAACTGTCCTATATTGTGCATACAAGCTAGAAAAAAGAAACAAAAACAACTAAGCGCAAAAGCTTTTCCCAAGAAATATAGTCAAGGTTTCAAAAAGGGCATAAGGAGACTGATTAGCTCAAAGAAAAGTTGCTGCTCTTTTGACTGCTGCTCTGTATGCACTTTAAAATAATTCCATAAATAAAAGTAGACCATATATCTTCATCATGTCCCACCAATACCAAAACCTCCCCAATTATTTTCTTAACACCTGTCTTATAACCTCAAGATTTGACATTTCACTGTAAAGGCTTACTGCTGCTTGATGGCAGTTGAACTAGACATGCTATACATTGCTTTCGATGTACAGTATGTCATAGAACATCAGCCAATTTGCAGATTACTTGTATTGAAGAGATCCTTCAATAAAATGAAAGTATCAGCTGAAGATCTAAAATTAGTCATATTCCAATAAAAAAGTACATAAAAGTGCATTTAAGGGATTCTTATGCCAGTTTTATCTCAATTTTTGAAACAATGCATTGAACATAAATTCAATCAGAATGTCAAATATGGCTACAAATAGTGTTCGTGTTTTTAAAGGCAGTAATCCTTCGAAATATTTAATGCAACTGTTGCTAACACATTAATAGTACTCCTGGCTTCACATACTAGCCTGGACTTCCAATCCAGGTGATTTTAGCCCAGAAGGGGAAGTGCACAAAATATACCTAAATCCATTGCGATCGCGTTCTAGTCTTGCACCCTTCGTTCTCCTTTTTTCTTGCATTAGAAGACAACAGGTTGAGTTGGCAGATACTGTTTATGGACCCCTGAGGTTGTCTTTACCGATTCAATCTCAATTTTATTGAATTCTTGATAACAGGAATAGGATTTGCAGGGAGAGCAGGGATATCCGAAAGGTCCGTACTGGGTGTTTTCTGAAAAGAAAAGAATATGTTTAGCTGTATTTTAATCTCACAAAATGTATTTTAGTAACTGACATTCAATTCCAACAGTGACAAAAAAAATTAAGATTATATCAAAAATAGGGTAATTACAAATTCTAAGTATAGATGTAGACATTCCTTTCCCTACAAGGACAATCTGTGCAAGTCTTTCATAGCATGTGCTTCTCTTCCACAATTGCAAGAAATTAAGCTTATAGCCTATAAATAATGCATAACATCCACAAAAGAGGGGTGCTTTATAGGTGACACCACCAAATTTGTATCTTTAGTCTTTGAAGATTGCTTTGAATCCTCAGTGTAAAGCCCACGTCTTTTGTAGATGATGAAAAAGCATCCTCAACATTAAAGGACATATTTTCATACATTCACATTTCAAGCTATTTACAAGTTCTATACAGCCAAATTTCCATTTTTTCTCAATGCTTTATCAAAAGAGAGAGGCATGAAGAACTCTAAGACAGTGCTAGACAACTGCAGTAAGTATTTTTGACAATATTCTGAACAGCTCTGTCCCACTTAAAATAATTAGAATTCATTCAGCAAAGCTGTAATTGAAGCAAAACAGAAAAGTAACTCTAGAGCCAGTGATTCATTCATTTTCATGATAAAACCCCATATTTCTACACTTGTCAGTCTCTTCTCATTTCCCCCCCTTTTTCCTCTTAAGTACTCCTACTCCACTTAAGCATATTATTTTGAGGATCCATTGTATCACAATAGCCCAGTTATTAGGCATTGCTTCCAAGATTTATTAGAAATTGTTTCCTTATGTAATAGATGTTCAGAATTTATATAAAGCACACTTGATAGATGGGGAAAACTGCATTAATATGACTGTTGTAAAATTCATTTAAAAAGTCAAATGCATTAGCAGTCACTGATCCAGCAGCCACTAATACAACAGCTCAAAAAATAAGAATCCACTACCAAAAAGCTTAAGATAACCTTAAAAAAAATCTTAAGGCCACCACTCTCCTTCCACCAGGATCCCACTTCCTGGTTCATATTGACCTCCTTTTTAACATTATTTTTATTTATTGCAATACAAGTAATCATGTGCTCTAAACAAACCCACTGAAAAATGACAGAAGAGGCCCATTAAATCTAGTTTGGAAATCTTTAGTTTCCTTTCCTATAGCAATGAAGCACAAAGTTGTAAAAACTACAAAACTTCGTATTATAATCAACCCTCAAAGATTAGAGGAAAAAAACTTGGTATAAATGATCTATAAAGGGAATAACTTCCCCTGAAGCAGTTTAGGGTACCTGTGTAACATTTAGTGTTTTAGCCAAACAATTTCAGTTTCCGCATCCAGCACTGCTCACACAGTTCAAAAGCTCAAGAAATAGTCAGAATGCTGCAATATATTTCCTTTTTCAACCTATACATTTGCTAGACATGACTTAATGGGTAAAGTGTGCATAAAATGCTTTGTGATAAAAAACAAACTTCAATCAGCAGAGCAACAAGAGAAGCTTAGATGCAGGTAAGAGCAAAGACATTCTGGAAAAGTTGTTACAATATTAGGAACAAAAATATAGAGTATATGCCACAAATTTATTGTTTTTAAAAATCTCCAATGCTTTTTCTACTTATAGTACCTACAAGCAAAGCAATGTAGCTGGCTAATACACTATCAAATTAGAACTTATATCTTTCTCACATCAAATATCAGAATCTGAAGTTATACTTCAGAACATTCTTAACCTCCACCAGGACATCTTTGAACAGCAGCTACTTAAAGCATTTGTTTCCTTGTTAGAAAGGATTATTCTGGGATGTGCAAAGCACAAAGGAATAAACTGAGCCCCTTACTTTGAAGGCAAAATTCAGAAGAGCGAATCCAGCTTCGGTCAGTTTGTATGGCAAGCCATACATGTTTAGCTACAATGCACATTCAATAAGATCAATGATCATCTAAAACACAAAAATTGTGACAGTAACAACAAGCAACTTTCCAAACAATGGACATTAAAAATTGTACATTTTTTCAACACTTGGATCATTTTAATTTCAATATTGTCACCACAGACTAGCAAGTATATAAATTGTTTTTAAATACAGTACCTGAGGAGCTTGCAGAGAAGTTGTCTGAAGAGCTTCTGGTTGAGAAGTAACATTCACTTCTGTCTCAAGTTGTTCCTAGAAAACCAAAAGACTCAATTTAATGCTTTGCTCCTACCCTTAAGGCTACACAGTGCTGCAGCCTCCAGTTATGCAACTATATACACAGAACTACATTAACCAGAATGCCTCAAGAAGCAGAGAGGGAATATGGAAAAAGTTGCCTTTGCAAGCATGGGTGGCTGCAAAACTACCCATTCTCATACAACACAGAAGTCAGGTTCTTTTGCAAATCAGGAATTTGACATAAACACAAGCAACATCACTTTTTATTTGTCACTTATTTAAACATTTGCTTGTTATGCTGAATAAGTTTGGAAAACATTATATGGTTCAACTCACAGGAGGCAAAAAGTGTAGTTCAAAACAAAGCATAGGCAAAAATCCAGGAAGACCACATAGATGTTACAGAATAGAACAGCAGTTCAATTTATAACAAATACAATATTATGCAAACCAATACCAAGGCACTAAGCTTAAGGTACTGAACCAAGTTCACAACCAGCTAAACATAAATACTGAGACAAACTACCTCTGTGACCACAGTCGGACATTTAACTTCATCACCTACAAGTAATTTGGGCACAGCTCTAAATTCTCTAAATACTAAATAGGTGCCCAAACACGTTCAGTGCCTACACACAACCTATATTTGATAAGGTCTTCAATATCAGAAGGATTGGATTTGTTACAATGCTCTAAAAATTGTTTGGAAGAGAGGGAGCACTGATTACCCCTTCTACACAAACACATCACCAAGTTCACCTCAAACAGCAGGAGGAAAAGACACCTGTTTTAATTCTTTGATTTTATAGCAATTTGAGAGCTGAAGCACCTTACTCAGAAGTCCTGAGAAACAGTGAGATTATCAGTGGGTTAAGTGGCAAAGGGCTGTAGGGGAGTGGACTTTCTTCTCCACTATGTAAGGAGGTATTTAAACAGCCAAGTGCACAGGATTACACCGGTTTCACAGGGAGGGTTTCACTGTATGAGTGAGGGGAATGAGCAGTTAGGCTGTAATCAACAGAAAGGAGGTCTCAGTCCTGCACAGAATCATAGAATGCTTAAGGTTGGAAGGGACCTCAGAGGTCATCTAGTCCAAGCCCCCTGCACATGCAAGGTCACGTAGAGCATGTGGCAGAGGGCTGCATCCAAGCGGGTTAGGAAAATCTCCAAAGAAGGAGACTCCACAACCTCTCTGGGCAGCCTGTTCCAGGGCTCTGTCACCCTCACTGTTAAGAAATGCTTTCTTAAGTTCCTGTGGAACTTTTGATGCATGTTCCTCTTCAGATGGTACTGGCATGTGTACCACACTACTTCAGTCCATTAACCTGGGAAAAGACTTCTCCACCTTTTTGCTGGAATAGTTTTCCTGCCACATTAGTGAGTCGAATTGGCTTTCTCGATGACCAGAGGGGTGTCAGCTTTTCAAGTGAAAAAGCAGGACTGCAAGGCAGAAGCAGGAGAACTGGATGTTCTCCTTTTAATGGCAAAAATCTGTTAATTTGCTAGATACCATATATAGTAAGACCACAGTGTAATAGAAAGCTTTCACTTCAAAGGAGACAAAATGTGTTTATATTATTTAGACTGGTCATACCTCTGTTTCCATACATATCAAGGAGATAGACTTTAGAGAAGAAATGGTCTATAAAAGCTAACAGGATTACCTAGGTCTTAAATGATAAGGATCTGTAACTAGAGAATCTATTTTGGATGTTAGAATTAAATACATTTCTGTCTTGAGTTCAAAGAGATTTCAAGGTTACTATATAATAAAATACAATTCTTCACTCAAGACAGTGGAAAAACTATAAACTAAAGCACTTGAGTGTTTAGTTTCTCAATTTCTCAGGGTATTTTCCAGAGTACTTCAAGGATAGCAAAATGCACCCCCCACACCTCCTTATACCAACAGCGTCAGTCCAAGCAGACAGCTGCTAATATTAGGCTAAAGAAAGCCTGTCACCCTTCCTGCTCGCTGGCAAGCAAAAAAAAGTCTGCTAAATTACAAGATACAGGAGGAACACACTTTAATCTCTGCAGGTTACCAAGAGTCTACTGAAGCACCTAAAAAAATTGCTCTTTCAGGATTTCAAACATCATCACCATCATTTGAAGGCTTTATAGACTAAAAAGTGAACAAGTTCACAAATGTTTTTAAGATTTCTCAGTATAAAAGTCAGAACATTCAGGTTTGGGCTGCAGCTAGAGCAAGGCACACAGACACATCCCTACTTCAATTAAATTTGATTGAAAAAATATTATTTTTTTGCTATGCATAGCACTGTGAATGAAAGAACTCACTACGTGACACTACTCAGGCTCTGCTTAGCCTGACAGTGAGCAATGTGCTGCAATTTATTAACAGTTGCTTTAAAAAAACATATACTTTTGATATGTTTAATGGACAGACTATACCACATCTACAAATACTATCAGTTATACTACCTAGGGAAACGCATAGCCATTTTCAAAAGTATTTAATGTTAGTAAAATTATATGATCTAGTCACACCTACCTTAGTTTCCATTTTTTCATGCTCATTCACATCTATACAGGTAGCATCTTCACTTATTTCATCCTGCTGAAAGACAAACCCAGAACCTTTTTATAAAAACAAGTATTAAAAAAGAAAAAAACACATGAAAATAAGAGGCCAAAGCATTTTTAAAAGGCAGCATCAGCTGAAAGGGCTTACAGTCTCATAATGCAAAAAAAAATCTCTTTTAAGAATATAAAAGCTTACAATCTAAACATTTGTGCTAAAACACTAACTAGGTGTGACGGATACGTTCCTTTCCCAGCTCATCCTGGCCTGTACCTTACATGCAGCCCTGTTTTGTTGCTGAACACCAGCGACCGATCTAATTCTGGCAGGCGCCATCGTCCTGATTTCTGTTCTCACTGAGACTTAACAAAAACAGTCCTCAAGGCTGCGTCGTAAACAGGGAGATAAGGCCGACACACTAACCTAAGTCTTTGAAGTTAAAAATATGACTACAAGCCAATCATCTTATTCCATAAATACTCGGACAGCCTGAGAGCCCCTTTGAGCTCTCCTGACAAGGCTGCGGCCTGCACACCACGATCTCCCCTTGGGTAGGGACGCCTCTCAAGGTTCCTCGAGAGATCTTCCTTTCCATCGCAGATTTGTGGTAAGTGAATATAGCACACTTTCTTTCTTTCTTTCTTGCTTGCTTGCTCGCTCGCTCTCTCTCTCTCTCTCTCCCTCTCCCTCTTTTAACTTTACTTTGTAACATAAGCACCCTCAGTCATAAACCGTTGACCAGGTCTGGGACTAAGATTGGATCCAACCGCACCCAGGCTCCTCTCAGAAGGAGCCTGGAAAGCAAGGGGGTCCAATCTGAACCTCGTGACCCAACGGGAGGGTATCCCAAGATAATCCTGTATTATCTTGTGCCTCCATGTAGTAAATAATAGAGCGATCTTGCCATAGAATCTCGTGAAATCATTATTATACTAATAAATCATACTGTTAGTTCTTTATTTGAGTGAAGTGCATTTTTGTCACTCGCCCCTGCCACCACTCGTTCCATGACACTAGGTCATGCATGACTAGTATCAGCATAACAAAAACAATAGCAGCACCTAAGCAGGCTGAACACATAAGAATGTACACTTTCCAAATACGGAATATAAATCAGATACTTGAATCCTTGAATATTAAACCAGCTCTTAACAGGAGAAATAAATGTTCAATATTTCAGACATGGGTACATTATGATCTCAAAGTTTTAAATACCTCTTCAATTTTTATTTTCTTGGGAGACTCTTCTTTATGGGGAGATGATGTCCTTTTCACTGCTGTGACAGGGCTAGGTGTTTTTGTTGCAACATTTCCTGAAGTTCTTGGTGATGGATTTAATGGATGCGCTGAGGGAAGAACTCTAGAGATTGTAGGCTTTGGTGGTGGAGAAACGGCTGGTTGCGTGGCAGTTTGAGGAATGCTTTCATTTGAAGTACCTAAAGGTAGGAATTGAACAAAGTTCAGCAAGATTAGTTTTGAACTCGGACATTTCAGTTTAGTTACTAGTATTTTTGGTCTCCAGTTGAGACCACTGTTACCAGTTAGGCTTAATGGGCAGGTTAACAGTACATGCATCACACGAGGAACAGAAGGCTCTTGTTCACAGCTCAGTTTAAAGCTCGCTAAGAGAGAGAATTCACGTACCAGAAGCAGGGTACCATGTCCGTGACACTCTAGTCTGTGTAAGTGGCCTTGCTAAAGAGCAGGGTATGCTAGTCCAGATGGAGCTCTGTGCTAATATATCCATACTGCTCTTGACACCCAAAGAAGTTGCACTATCTCTGTATTTAGCCAGGTAAGTACCAGTACACAGTATCTTAAACTGGGGAGAATGCCAGATTTATCTTGACTCATCAACGTTAAACCTGATTGTTACTGTTTTTCCATCTCAGAGAAAGTCTCTAGAGATATGAAGCCATCACAGAGCACCCGTTACAGGTTAATATTCCATATAATAATTTGAAAAGTGTTCCACATGACAAAGCATTATCTCATCAGTTGCCTACCTGAAACAAACAGCTATACACAAGGAGACCCTGCATACAGGGAGACAATCATGATAAAGGAGAAAAAAAAAATCCATTTTTTAATGGATTTTTTCATTCATTATTTTTTCAGATAGATAATACGGAAGATATAATTAAGGATCATATGCTCTGTTCCCATTTGAATCTTCTAGAATTCATCTTAGTGAAATAGGAACAGCAAGAACATGGGACCATGGATTAGAGACAGTTCTGCACTGTATATAATCCATGGGTTTCGCTCTTTGCCTCTTGGGTTTCACCACAAAAAAGAACAGAAGAAATCTAAAAACAGCTCTTCCAGCTTCAGAGAGTGGACATCTTGTTCTCACTAGATCACCTGAGCTTCGGGCATCATTTGTTTACAGTATAAGGAAAACTGCTTGGTAGAATAATTATTTTTTAAGTTTCTACCAAAATATCCTTAGTTTTAAAGTAATTAACCTGTAAAGTAATTTTAAATTACTTTAAATTAAAGTAATTAACCTGAGCAAATGTTGCATCCTATGTTACTTAGTCTCAAATTGAAAGAACAACCTCTGAACTTTGCCAAGATAGGGGTGGGGGGAGGGGGTCTGTGGGGGAGTGTGTGTTAGATCTATATTGATCAATGGAAACAACATACTATGCTGTTTTTCTTACCCCCTGAGCTTTCACTGGAATTTGTTTGTGGCACAGTGACTTCAGAAGCCTGTATGTTGGTCACAGATGCTGCTGTTACAGCTGGCGCAGGACTGCTTCTGCTATAAAGACAACAAAACATGAAATCGAAGTATGCTTAGGCTTATATAATCTGGTTTATACAACAACATGCATGTGGCCCGTGACTTTAGTTGAGTTTTAGTTCACTTAAACTGATGCGTGTGCTATTAACATAGTATTTTGTGCTGTGAAAACAGTATAAAATATTTGGCAACTTATCAAACTACAGAAACCACCCTAAATTTAACCATTTCTCACTTCAGAGAAAGCTTTTTAAACCAAAGGATATTGCATTGAAACAAAACAAAACAAAAACTGGGGTCGCATGTGCACAAAAGAGAGATGCAGACGGAAAGGCAGCAGTTATTTTTCCTGAAGAGCGGAGCAAGAACGACTAGGTGGTTGGTTTTATTTTACACATACCATTACTACTTTAATTTTAGTCCTGAGTAAAGGATTGGAACTTTACATGACACAGAATCAGGGTATTTAATCTTTGTAACATTTAATCTTTGGCACATTTCACTTTCCAGTGTGGTATCTCAGATATCGTGCTTAATAATTATACAAGTATTTTAATAGCATGGTTAGCCATATCCAAGTATGAGCCAAGAGATCACTCAACCAAAATTGACACATCTTAATTCTTTTTGACATAAATACTTCTCTACTGTCTCATTTTGATCCAAAACTCATGGAACTCTCTCTCAGACCTCCCTTTTTCACCATGCTCTCTACTCTACTCACCATTGGTCCTGTTCTAGTGTTCAAACTAGAAATACAAGGGAAAGCAAGTTTCCAAGTGGCAAATTTACACCTTGATGCAGTATGCCATGCACACATGCTGTGGGAATTCAGAATTTAACAGTGGGAATTCAGGAACAGAAAGCAATAACAAAATTAAGACTAGAAGCCATCGTTACCCCTGAGAACTTCCTGAACTGTTCAATGGACTTGTCTTCATAGCACTAGTAGGCGAAGGCACAGACGTGCTGTTATCACTGTCCATGGACAAGTCGAGGCTGCTGTCATTCAGAGCTGCCAGCCTGACCCCTTCTGTTGAATGCTGCAAATCACAAGACAAAATTTATCTGAACCAATGACATTCAAAACCAAAGTGCTTTTTTCTTCCTGTATTTAGTAACTGTACTTTTAATCAAGTTTCTTTGCTTTTCTAAGCTGACAGATACTGGTGTGAGTAGCTTCAAAGTAATACTGAAATACAGCAAAAGTCAGATTTTTGGAAGATCAATTAATACAGAGAATTTAGAGGCCCTTTTAAACATACCTAGTTAAATAATCAAAACTTTAATGGAGGAGAAAAAAATCCTACAGCATAGTACTACCTAAAGAGATGATTTATTAAATATTTACAATATCCTCTGAGATGTTCTGAACAAATTTAATCGGATTCAATAGAAGATTTTAAAATCTCTAAAAAAAAAAAATCTTTCAACATACTCTTTAAAACCATTTCAGTAATAAACCAAGTTATTTAGAAACAACTAAAAACACATAATTAACGTAGCTTTCAGATGAAGTTGGGATTTGCAAGACGGAACTTTATTTAAAGACCAAATTCCTAAATCCCATACTATGTTCCTTTCTACTCCCACTTACTGAAAGTAAATCACACCCAGACAGCTTTTTCCCTCCCCTCTTTTCCACATGTGTAGGTGCCTAAGTGTACCACATGTTGAGTGGAAAAAACTCTGGAGGGCAATAACCAATTTTCAGATTTTCAAATCTTTTAAAAATCCTTTAAAATAAAAGGACTTAACTCTGAAAATTGCCAAGCTGCAGGTTGAAGAACACGTTTAGTCAAATTATCCTCAAAATAATCAACTTCAGTTATAGCAACATATTGTCATCTCATACACAGAAAAGAACAAGTCCAACAGGAGTAAGAGCAAATTAAAAAGAAAAGAAGAGTTGGGAGATAAGGAGATAACGAGGCTTATTTAACTGATAACATTGGTATTGTTATTGATGCTTCCTTTAGGTGATTTCAATAAAACAAAACAGCTGTTAAAAAAAAAAAAACTCATTCTTAAACTGATTTAAAATCATTCAGTTTAGGAACATGACCAGAAGATAATAAACTTCACATAATAAACTTACNGGAAGGCCCCAAAAATACTCTTATACTTCATGGTGCTGATGTTCTGGTAAGTTCAGTATAACACTCAGCACATATGGTAACTCTGCACCTCTGTCCATGAGGCCATACTGCTTATGCAGGTAAAACTGAGTTTTCCAAATGTTTCTTGTTACTTAATGGGTAAGTCGAACAAAACCAATGTAATTATTAGTCAATGGCATTTTTATTGCTCTGAAATACTATTCAAGTTTACCTTTTTCTTTTTCTGAAGCACGTGATTAGGTAGCAGTTGGTGAAGTTGCTTTCGTTTCACATGCCTTGCAGCAATCTTCATATCCATCTCAAACATCTTGCTGTTTATTGCTTGCCTATAAACTACACAATTAGGAGAACATTAAGACATCACTGAAACGCTTGGCAAAGTGCACTTACTAGTTCAGGAAGAAATCTGCATTTCAGCACATTTATCATTCTCAGGAACAAGCACAGTTTTTCCTCATTCTGAATGAAATCTTGTCTACTCTCCATGTACTCATAGCACAACACTATCTACACTACTACACTACTTTGGAAACACTATTTCTTTCCAAGAAAACTTTGTGAAAACATGCAGTTCTCTCTCAAATCTACTGTTAAAAAGTTTTTAGCAGTACCAGACCTGAAGCTAGTTTTTCATTTAATCTTGTACAGACTAGAGAAGAAGATAATTTTTTCTGAGAGCTAAAGTATTTAGGTAAGACTATTTTCTTCACTTTGTTTTTCTTCACAGATCCAGTTTTTATTTATGCAGCTTCTACAACAAATGGGTTCTAATTCAGAAGTTGAAAGTACTACCTAAGATATTACAATTTTTTTTTTTCTGGCAGGTTAGATAGCATTAAGTCACTACAAAAACATTCAAGTTTTTTGTTTTTTTTCCCTATGCCTGTTAACTGTTTCTCTTCATCATTTCACAAGTGGCACAAGTCAACATAGTCAGTGGTGTAAAAGAAACAGCATTGCAAGCTGACATGTCGAGGTTTTAGTAAGCCATTTAATCTTGAAAAGTTATTCAATCTTATTTTGCACAAACTCCTAATACATTGAAAAATGCTGTGGCAGATGTACGAACAATTAATGTGTTCTGTAGCTCCTGAACACAAAAACTTCTCTCCCCCTTATTCACTATCTATTCTGTGCCATAGAGAGGAATCTCATCAAGCAAATATGAAGTGATGAGTTTTGAGTTCTCTTTTTTAAACCTGCTAGAAAGCATGCCAGTTCCTCTCTAATTTCATATTTGAAAATGATTCAGCTAGTTTTAATAAAATTTTAGGACCTATTCAAAAACAGGGCAAACTTTCTGATCAAGAAGTCATATTACAAAACTAAGCTAGTGAATTTGAGGGCTGGGGGGGGGGGGGGGGGTCAAAACACACACACAGCCCCCTCACCACTTGAGCTTTAGAGAGTATTTATAAATCCTGAAGATTCAAGATAGTATATGAATAAACATATATCATCAGTCAGTAAAACTAAAGAGGGGACCTTAATTCAAAGTAACTAAATACACAACTGTAAATCATATGACTACTGGATTAAGAACAGAGAACAAAACATTTGAAATGACAAAAAAAAGAAGTTGTTTGCCACTTTGTTTTGGAATTTTGTTTACAATTTAAACAGTATATATTTATATTAGTTTAAGTTTTTTTGGAAAAATGTAGCTTTACTTAAACTGTATACTTAGTTGAATTTTTGATTTGAAACTAGTATAAGTCAGTCAGATACAAAATAAGTGAAAGTTGTAGCACAATTTCTGTATAAAAATGTGGGATCTATTAAATACATTATCGAATTACTAAATTGATAAACAGTAAAAACACAAAAATAAATGACACATATAATATAGGTCCCTTTCTCCTTCTATTCTGTTCCCCAGTGTGCAGCCATATAATTAAACCATTTGCTAATCCTCAAACAAATTCTCAAATATTAGGATGCATGTAAGCTCACTTTGACCACATTTAATGAAATGGACTATTCCAACTACCTCGAGAAAATATCTCCTTGAATGAAAAAAAGAAAAAAGCAGCTATGAGAGAAATGGGACAAAGCATTTTCTAATCTTCGCATCGCTTACAGGAAAAACAAACACAGACCAAAAACGACACACAGAACTGCACAGTATGCTTAATATGCCATACAGCTTATTTCCAGAATTAGAACTGAACAGTCAGGAGTTGCACTTGATAGTACTTCAACTTACGTCCTTATCTTTGTAAACATGAAATACTTAAGCATTATTTTTTTTTCTTTTTTTTTTTTTTTTAAATACTGCAAATACATTAATCCGTCGAGGGAAGGTTCTGCCCCTTTTGCAGTCTTCATCTCAAGCTGTTACTAATTTTTGCTTCCAAATTTCTTATGCATATTCTGAATGTTTTTGGCAAATCAAGAAATGAACAAGTTGAAAAAAATAAATAAAAGTAGTAAAACCTCCACATCTGACACCACAGAGTACAAGCTACTCGGGTAAATTATGAGGTAGTTTGAAAACCCTTTACTGAATTAACCATCATGGCTTAAAAAGTATTTCACTCTACAATTTTTAAATACTTAACTTTTACCCACAAGTAAATTTTGAATTTTATTTAATGTAAAAATAATTAAACTAAAGCATACTTCAGAAGGTGATGAGGTTAGGTAGTCTGCATATAACAAGATTAACTATTTAATAAGAAAGATAACGCTATCATTTACCATTTTGAGGGAGATTAGAGATCTGTGTGCATTACTCCAATCATTTGTTTTCACTAAAACAGTTTAACTTGAAGTCATTACAAAAAGACTGTATTTCAAATAACACCTTAAACTCCTTCACCAAATCTTGCTAGTCTTTGCTTAGTACAATCATACTGTTCAGAAACTCAATTATGAAAGAAAAGGAACACCACTCAACAAATTTATCAATATCCAAATATCTGAGTACCAAGACTCACCTGTGTCCGTAAAAGACTGAATGTCGTAAGTAAGATCAACACTTAAATTTTCCGAATTTTCAGTTTTCTTGAACACCAATCCAATCACCCACATTGTACGGTATTCTTCCCTGAAAAGTTTTATATAAGAAAGTCATGTAATTCTGACCAGAGAACTGAATAATCCAGTAGTTTGCTGCAATAAACAACAGTTTTACATTTTAGCTCCACTAGCAGCAAGGCACTAGACACAGGACAGCAGAAACTAGAACAGACTAGAACAGACTTAATGGCATTCTCTCATAGATATACATATATATACTCCATTATAATAATTCATTCGTTGACTAAATAATTTTGATTTTTTTTTTTAAACCTAAACTTGTTTCAACACCATTTTTAGGTTGAAGTTTGACTGCAAACTGTCAGATAACAGCCTCCTCCCAAAACATATGTGGAAAATCAATTACTACACTTTATCAAAGAATTAATAAGAAGAATCTATTATCATAAAACCTCATGACACTTAACATTTAAACATCTTTTCCGTGTAAGACTATTTTGGAATTAGCCAATTTATCAATCAATCAAAGAACAAATTTCGACAGGCAGGTAAAGGTATCTAAGCTATTTACATTTGGAAAGCAACTTTTCATCAGAAACATTGCCAGGAACAATTCTCAACCCTCTCAAGTGCTAATCAGAGTCCGTGATAATCCAAAAGCACGGCAACAGCAACATGATTTTAACTTCCTATCTGTTTACCCACTAAAGGTGGTGGTAAAGATGCACTGGCCCCTTTGGTCACTATAACTTGGAACATATACAAATGCATAAACTGCATGTAACTTCAAAAAAAATTCTATCTAAAAAAATAAAATATTTAAGTTTGGAAGGAGAGGTTTTAGGATATACCTCCAAAGAGCCTAAAAATCAGTGTCAATTAACTGTTAGCATCTCAGTCTTGAATGCCTGGTACTCCTTCCAGATCCCTGTGAATTCTGCCATCAGTCATTACCAAGTGACATGCCTCCATACCAATATTTAAAGAGTATTAAACCTACATAAGTCATTCAACACCGTGCCTGATGTTCTACTTGATTCTCAGCACTGCCTTGTAATTAAAATGTTACATCAGATACTATGTGATCAAACAGCAGCAGTCAAGTACCAGTATCTACCAAAAAGTTGGCATTATTGGCATAAAGGTATGCAATTAGAACAGTGTTAGCAAAAAAATTTTTTTTTTTTTTTTTTTTTTTTTTTTTTTTTTTGATAAGAAACAGTTTGACAAGGGACAAAGCACTTCAGAACAACTTAAAAGCATATACTTCTAGATTCTTCTACTTGGAAGGTTTATAAAAGCATTTATATTAATAAATTTTTATTTAAGTCCTTCAACTACATGGGAAAACAGTATTTTTGCTTACTTGTCAGGATTTTCCTTGGGTGCTGGGAATGACTGCGGATTCACATGAGCCAGTGTAATGAATTCATTCTTCTCCAAATTTCCAACTAGAATACGAATCTTTGATTCCACCAAGCCCACCCTGTATAAATGCCATTTAATAGCAAATTTTTGTTAATTTGAAATAATAAAAATTCCTAACTTCATGTATCAAGGAAAATAAATTCCTCAGCATTCTGCTTACACTACTACTTCAGAATACAAATGAACTAGCACACTACACAAAACAGATTAATTCAGATCAATAAACATTAAACTACACAAAGGAAGATTAAGAATACTCTAATTAACTCTTAACAATCTGGTTTTACAGGTAAGTTCAAAAGCAAGAGGTCATCATCAGTAAGGAGGAGAAACATCTCTTCCACTGACCTCCTGTCAGTCAGCAAAGCACTCCCATCTATTTCTCCAGTATTGTTCTAGCTTCAGGTAAAGAATGTTAAAAACTAAAGAAGTTCCTGGTAAGTGACAATCACAGAACTTCTTTGAAAAAAATGAGGAGAGTGGAAACAGGGCAATTGTTGATTGTTTTTTCTCTAACAGTGTTAGAGACTGAAAACATACCTATGCACATTGCCTTCTTACAGAAAATTTATGCAGGACTTAAGGAAATAGAAAGTTTAAGATGAACGTGATAGTGAAGAACAGTGCAATCAACAGCTTACTCTCCCCACTTCATTCTTACTGTATTTCAGAAAGAATATCTTCATCCACTTAATTTTGATACACTTAAGCTCCACTATGCTTTTTTATAAAGAGTATAATATACAGTTGTTTGCCTCCAGGTTGACAGGATTTACTTTTTAATTGTTTTGTTAATAGCAAGCATTATACTCACCATTCTAGTCGCTGTTTTTCTGTCGGTGCGCTTGCTAGAAGTACAATATAATGCCTTTGGAGATAAAGACAATATGCTATTCTATTTATACTTCTAAAACTAGACATTCATAGTTCAGTATTATGCTTCTCAATAATATCTACAGGGCAAGCCACAGATTACTAGCTAATCCCATACCGTATAATAAAATTAAGTGCATTAAGTAGGCAAAGGGGTTAGTAAACAGTCCCCAAGCACGTGACTAAGAGACCTCAAGATTTTTCAGATTTAGCTACACTTTAATACCCCAGCTTACCAGGCAAACGGAATAAATGCAAATAAAATAACATAAAATAAAAACACCCACTACAAAATGCAATTGTAGTTAAAAAGCAATACAGAAATTTCAAAACCTAATGAGAACAGGGCATTAGCTGCCTACTGCTTAGATTCACTGAAGACAACTTATATGCACTGTAAACAGAAGACCGTTCACAAGTACCTGAGCAGATGTCATTTTTTAATCATTATTAATGAATATAATTTCTGAAGAGTTAGATGAATGGTTAGCATATACTCATTAATCAAACACCAAATAATATTAAGCGTAACTTACAAAGATTGAATATCCATTTTTAAAAAGTCATTAGACACTTATCTGAAACTTCACAAGGAATGTGAAGATAATCCTGAAATTTTCAATTAAGTTGACAGTGGATAATAACTGCATTATCCACTGTAAATAAGTCCCAAACAAACAGTATACAAAGCTAGAATGCTATTTTAAACAAGAGTCCAAGGATGGTGGAATGGGAAATAACCACAGCGATTAATTATTATTTTCTGTATATGCGAGTTCATAATCTTGGCAAGAAACTTACTACATGCCTATAACGAAGATTCTCAGAAGTTCAAATAACCCAACTTGGCACTATAGACTGTATCTAAAAATAGTGGTATGTTTTAGGTCTCATCAGAATAAGATTAGTAAGACCAGCAATTAAACATTTTTATGCTGACTTCAGAGAAAGGAAAGCAAGGCCTATGGTAGTGAAATGCTACGATGCAAAACTTTCTGATTTACAGGACTTTAAATCTTAAGAGTACAGTTACCAATTTTGTCACTTGGTTTTGATTTACATTTCTATATTTAACTTCCTTTTTAAAAAAAAAAATGGGGAAATTCATGGGGGGAAAAAAAGTATTCATGGGGAAAAATTCAATGCTATAGTCATTTATGTCAGTTAAAGTCAAGAGAACTACAAGAAGGGGAAAAGAGATCTCTGAAGATTTTTCCCTCCCTTCTAAATAAGACGTATTATCTATTGATTTTTGCATGTTAACAGTATTAACTATTTAAAAAGGATTAAGTTTTATCTACCATCTTATTTAAAAACACACTCCTCCTCTTAGTTTCTTGTAAGACATGACTACTGAATTATTTACACTCCTAAAATCTCAAATCTATGGCAAAGAAAAGAAAGATAAAGTAGAAACATGATAAGATTTTTCCAGAACGTTTATCTGGGAAAACAAACACATTCTGCCAATTCATTTGTAATTCAACAGTGATGTAAGAACCTTGAAAAAGAGAGTTCCTTTTCCTCAAACTCTAACTATGCAAAAAGTCACTTATTTCTAGTAACAACTTCTAGACACGCAATGCTAGCCCTAAGATTCCTACATCGTACATAGCACACGCAGACACATGAAATATGTTTCATTCAGTGGGAAAGGCAACTTCAGTTGCATGTGTGAACTGGAAACAGACCAATTGACAAGTACTCGGGGAAACTCATTTTCCAGTCATATTTTAAAAGCAGCTCTTTCAAGCAAACTTTTAGAGAACAGCTCTGAAGTCCAAGCCCCAACTAGTTGACATCTACAGAAAGAAAGTCTGTCATGTTTTTTGGATTGGAAGGATCAATTAAATTCACTTTCTATTAGAAAAGGAGAAGAGTATGTTACGAGCCTGCCACATATGAAGATTTACTAAACTGTGCTGTGGGAGAATTACTTACAGGACATCTACATAAGAGCATTAAAGCTGCTGTTAAATTTAAGAAACACTTAGTTTTAGGTCCAACAGTCCACTGCTAAGTTTTACAAAGACAAAATTTGCTACGCATTCTTTAATTCCAATTTTATAAGCAAAGATTATGCTGAATTCAGAAGAATCCATTACTTTCTGAAAAATATAGGAGAAACCTCTTAAAAATAAGGTTTATTTCAATTGTGATTATCATTATTTATAGTATTCAGACATACAGTACTGTTTTTAGAAATCGGTGTTTCTTCCCTCCCACTTCACCCTCCCTATCACAATTTTTATTGGGCAAAACTGAATGCAGTCATTTGAAAATTACCTGACACTATTAACATCTGTAATTACAAGAAAAAAAAAGTATTTTTAAAGAGAGCATAAAAGATACCATACTAGATCCCGAACACCTGGACATATTTATTGAAAGTTTTTTTCACAGAGCTATCCAGAATTTTTATTTTAAATTAAACCACTGCTTTAGTTAAAGCCATATCCAGATATACTTTTCACAGGGGTGCTTTGAACAGTTAGGTTTAGATGCTATTTACATCATTTAATAGAATATTATTTATTTTTTACAAGGAAACAACAATACAAATCATTTAAGGGAATGCTACTTTTCTGATACCTACATTTCACCTGATTTTATAAAAGTTCTAGGCATTACTGCCTCATGTAACACTGCATGCTGTTATATCGGTCTGAAATTATTTTTATCATTCTCTTGCAACACGCTATACCCAGGAAGCATGAGCATATGTTCTGTTACCCATTTTTCACCATGTGAAAATCCAAAACCACATCACCATTGCAGGTAGTACATACTGCAGTTTCCTAACTTAAGCATATTTGTTGACATTTAAAGGATAAAGAAAAAGAAAAATTAAAAAAAAAAAGCTCAGATTTCCCTCTTCCTAATTTGTTCAGCCACACAGGTACACTGTAGCCTCCAAAGTTCTTCAGTCACATAGCTTTTTAAGTTTGCTAATTTTAAACACAGCTAACAAAGCAAAATCATTTATGATTATGGAGATAAAGTGAATTATAGGGTTAGCTGTCACAAACGCTACTACTAAATACTAGAAGCAGCAGCTCATTTGAGGAGAAATGTTTTAGAAAGTTGAGAAAAAAAAAAAAAAAAGACACTGATCTGGTACAGCACTATATACTGCTTTGTTTCTCAGCAGGAAAAAGTTCATGATCCCTGCAACTTAAACACTGGAATGAATGGGGGAGAGGGAAGAAGACAGGGAAGAGAACACCTATCTTTCAGATGGATATTGGACCACAGAAAGCCACAGAGAGTCACATTATTCCATATTGATGACTGCATATAATTATTTTATTATGGGGATTATGGGGATAGTCATTAACTACAACTTTTAAATTAAGGTGTAACAGTTTAATTAATTAGCAAGTTCCATAATACCATTCCACAGTTGAAAAATAGAAGTTTTGTACAAGAATTTATAAAATTTGGATATCCAATGCTAGCAAAAGCAGCTTTTATTGATCCACTGATGAAACGGCTAAAGCTGGTACACATAAAACTACATTAAAATGGAGATTACTTCAAGTGACATTTAATGCTTTCTAATACTTTTTTCAGAACTAGAAAGAAAATGTACCAGGGAAGGTATTAGCAGAAACTGATTTGTCTGCATCTCACTTATAAAAGAACACTTTTTAAGAATTTTCAAATTTAATCTCCAAGGTGCAACATAAAAGTCATCCAAATGTTTTAAAGCTTTCATCATGCAAAAGGTACAGAAACAAAACACAGACACATTATGAAGGTCATCAGTCTTTTTTAATGGGGGAATTTTATATTTCAATCTTCTTTAGATTAGTACATAACCAACCAACCACCCAACACAGAAACATGTGTAAAGTATATTTGATTTGGATTTGAGAAAAATGGGTCTCCAAAATTTCAACTGAGGGCAAAGAAGATATAGTCCATATTTTAATAATCCATATTTATTATAAAAGTACAACTTTCAGCAAGTCAATGTACATGTAACAAGCTTCTGCCCCACAAGCATAATACTAGAAACCCTAAATGTAAGAGGTATGAACTGGAGAGTATTTACCTTAATGCAAAGACATTACAAAATTAAAGAAGAGAGATGTAGAGTATTAGCGTTGAAAGCCTTAAGCTTTAATGAAAAAGTCTCGTAATAACTAGTACATCTTGCAGTTAGTCAACATAACTGTAAAAAGTATCTTTTATTATCAGAGTGAACTGTTGACTATATTGACAGAAGAAAGCACGGTTTCAAGTAGGCACTCATCTTAAATATTGACCTAAAGAGTTAGTTCTTTTAAGATCTTGTTTCCTGGGAGATTTGACCCATTTTTAGAATACTTACTGCCATCACTAAAAAGCCCACTTCTGTTAGTCAAACGAGCTGAAAGGCCTTCCATTACACTGGTAGGGTATCAATTCTAGAGTTAACTGGTGACGTTCTAGGTATCTAGTCACAGACTAACAGGTTTCTGAATTACATGCTGAAGACATAAGTATTTGATGTAACTACTGATTTGCCAAGGGAAAGGACAAGACTGCTCACTCCTCTCTATAAAAAAAATATTCTTACACCACTTTTTGTAAGTCTAATGTATGTGAAAGTAAATTCCTGTGCCACAGAGCATCATTAGATATTTTAACTGATAAAACTTAAACATTCTGCCATGCCATAAAATACATACTTGTACTTTTGAAAGAAGTTTGGAGCTTCAAAAAGTTTGGACCACTCTGCCTTACTCAGCAAAATTTCATCTGTGATAGCAAGACCTAAATTATAAAAAAACATTTAAGCCTTTTGTTTTTTAAATACAACTTAATATCCAGAATAAAACAGCTTAGAAATTAAAATTTACAAATTGTCCCCTTTCCTCAAAAGAGTTTATCAACAATCTTTACATTCCCATCTTACCTTTTTCCCCCCTCCCCTTAAAGTGGTCAGTACTTACTCAGATCATATTATAGAAGTAATCTTTGATATAATAACTGTTTAAAAGCTTAAGTTAATTGATCTGATTGATGATTTAATACAATTCACTTTGCAGTATAAAACAGTTCAATTGACTCTTTTGGGGTATGTCACAGATTAAACCTGCTCAGTCTCAGTCCAAAGAAGGTAGAAATTTTTCTCACAGTGCTTGTATCACTTTTGGTGTACGACATTGAATGACAAGGCAAAGAAATGAGACAGTGAGTCACTTACTACATTGTCTCCAAGAGCTTCTGGTAGTTGCTCTCTGTATTAAGTCCTCTTCTTGCCCTGACAACATCTTTGCCCATCTATTGTAACTACTAAGTAGATTACTTGAACAAGTCTCATCTGAGCAAGTTGTCATTAGGATCAGTACCTGTTATCAAATGGGACTAACAGACTAGTTTTCCAGGTGGCAAAATAGAATCTAAAACCAACTGAAGCCTAAATACAAGAATTGCAGCTCTCATTTTCAGAGCACAAGGCAACCTAATGAATTACCCTCAGCTTTTAGGAGGGAAATAGTTACAGCAGTCCCCTACATAATTTGGTACTTACAATCAAAAGCAGCATGAAGGATTGGCTAAGTTCTACCTGCTTTAGAAAGTATTCTCATGTCAAAAAACTACTTAACATCTTCCCATCTCCTCCCTCAAAATGAGGGCTCCCACAACAGAACTATTTTAAAACCTTTTGAATATATTTATAGAGAGCGTAAGATAATACTTACCTTGTTTAAATTCCTCAACCATGACCATCCGTGTGGAAACGGACACATTGTAGGTAGAGTTCTGCTGTGGGTATGCTGGTGTAATTATAGGCATAAGATGGTACCTATCACTGGGATTTACCTATATATAACAACAGCCAATCAGTTTTCTTCAAGCATACACACGAGTTAATAAATTTGGATTTCTTCCTTTGCTAAAGTGAGTCTCAAATTCTAATGACATCTTAGTTTGAAGGTCAAGTAAATTTAGCAGTATATCAAGCTCCAGATGTTGGTATCTCTGGATTTAGAAACACCAACTGAACAGGACAACTTCTCTTTGATAGAAATTAGCTTCTGAGCACACCAAAGCAAAGATACCCTATCACAACATGAGAAATAGCTATGCTAAGACCCTGTAAAATATGTTCTTGCTTTAGTCCTGTAACACTGCTGAAAATGAGCCAGGCTAACAAAAGAGGCTCTGGGCAACCTGAGGGAAGCAGCACTTGCATTAACATAGCCTTTATTAAAGCAACTTAGGGGAAACAAAAAGCACTGAGGAAAACAATACATTTAAATAACTTTAGGGTAATAATTTTGTTTTTCATAGGCTGTAAGTGAAAGCTAAGGATGAAAACTTGCCCTTAACTTATCACATTTTATTTAGTAACTACAGCAGGAACAGTTCACGTCATATACAGACTTCAATCCCTTCTCCCAGGGGACTTAGGAACCAGTATGATTTAGGAACACTGTTTTCCTCTTTGTCCCTCATTATTTAAGTGTAGACTTTTGTGAATCAGAAAAAGGTATATAAAAAAGAAAAAAGCATGAAGATCATGCAACTCAATCTCTGGTGCTTGGATTCAATCACCAAAAACAGAGTGGCTGAGCACCAAGTATTTTAAAATCGACTCTATGCCCTATTGAAATCTGAGGATATGAACCACATGTCTGCTGGAGGCTGTTACTTTGTCTGCTTGAATAGTATTCACATCCAACGGAGGGCTACAAAGACAGTGACATCGACATTGCAAATACTGTTCAAAACTTAACTTCTAAGTTAGGATCTTCTGTGGTCCACGACAAAAAAAGATACATTACTATACAGACATACAGAATGGATGGTTGCATTGCAGTGAATCCAATGCAACCTGTTATTTTTAAGTCAAAGTCAGTCAATAAGTGAACTGTTATAAAAAAGCAACTTTTCCAAAGTGTACTGCTTTAAGAACACATCTAATTGCTTTGAGTATCTATTAAGACTATTGATGGCAAGAGCTGGAGCAAAAGGTACATTTTTCAGTAAGGGTTCTTTAAGTGGCCAGTTTACAGAATTCTGCTAACTTTTTTCCACTCAGGCTAATTAGAAAGTTACTATAAACACACAGCGTCAAGATATTAACTTTAATAAACCCAAAGTTCACCTGGGAATCTTCAAGCAACCGAATGTATTGCACAGTGTCACTTATAGGGGAAAAAATAATACACTAACCCTTGGGTCCCATACAGGCAAATTAAGATTGCATTCTTCTGGCTGTTTCAATAGCACTGGATTTGGCCATTCCCTGTTTAAAAAGATTGTAGCACTGAATAAGACTATTGGATAAAACCATTTGTGTTCAAACAACAAAACTTTTTGAATGTGACCCTTCCTCACTCTGCACTTATGGTAAATTAGCATTTCCTCACAAGTCAACTGTTCTAGTTCTAGTCCTTCAAATACCCTGTAGCTCAGAAGTATAACATAGCTATAATTGGCTTCTGCAAAGCATCAGAACAATAAATTTTCTCTGAGTCACAGCTATATCATTAATGGTTTAGACAGTTATATCAAGTTCGCATGAACTCCTAAATTACACTGAGTTACAATGAAGATGCTCTTCTACAAAGATTAGCACTGCACCTGTCTTCACGCTAGCTGTTTCACCACCAAATTACAGAAGCAACAGCCAGCAGCATTATAAAGCACACACACTAAATTGCACCTTTTTGCCAAGGTAAATCATGAAAAAAAAAAAAGCATGTTAAATGAAGCAAGTGCACAAAAAGAAGAAAAGAGCACAACACTTCCATTCAAGATGTCTCTTAATCCATGAATAAAAGGTGTCTTCCTGTGGAAGCACTACTTTTATGCAAGTCACTTATATCTGAGTGTTTACACATTAATGTCCATACAGTAGGCACATTATGAATTTGTAAAAACCTCATAAAGCTGATAACAGAATAATGAACACATTAAAAGGCATTTGCAGCTTTCCTGTAACAACTTTGTTTTCTAAGATACTAATAAACAGTGGGCCTTTAAAGAAAGCTGTAAAGCCAATGGATTTAAGACGCAGTGCGACTGCAGCAATTATCTTCATAGCAAGAACATAAAGCGACAATTTGGTGCAAGGATTCTAAAAGTTTGCCAACACCCCATGAAGAATACAGGGCTCCAGATAGGATCCAAGAAAAAGAGCATTCAGCAGCAATCTGCAAAGTGCACTTTTCTCCAGTTCACTCTACATTTACCCAGAATGCTCCCACTGTTTTCAGCATTATTCAAAGAACCTGAGTTAACTACTAGCTCATGAGTATGAAACCACATCTAATACAGAAGCACTTTCCTCTCTTTCCACAATGAGAAATCAACCTCTTGCCTCTGGTCTTCCCATGTTGCATTTAAGCTATGTGTCTAAATGGGATACTATCAGATAAATCCAAATAGCTGAGTGCTAAATGACTTCAACTTTCAGGGCATTTACTCTTGTATAGCACTACATGGGTGTTTTTTCCTGATAATACTTTTTTTGAGTTTTGACAAATAATTAGGTACATTGTACTTAAAAATTGAGTATTGTTGTTTTGGATACTTCAAGAACCAGGCATATTGCATGACTTTTATTGAAAAGCCCCAAGCTCTGGCACCAAGAGTAGACAATGCTTAACTATCAACTTAACCTGATAACAGCTGAAAAAAATACCATAAAAACAGGACTAAAATTTAGTGTCTACAAAACAATTTTATTTTAGTGTAATCTAAATTAAAAAAAAAAAAACATACCATTTAGAAAATACCAAGAAAAATTTATGTACAAGAGTTGATGCTATTGCATTTGGATAAAGCTGGCAAGTTCTTGCTACTAGCATAGCCCAGGAAACACCACCAAGGAAACCTAGTATATTGGAATAGATGTTGTGGCCTGTGGATTGAGAAGGAAAAAGACAAAAGGAGAGAGTTATCAGTAACTATAAGGGTGAATGAAAGCCTCAGAAATTTTGGAAGAAAACTGCTTACGTTTTGCCCACAGTTTGATAGCTCTCAGAGTTAACCTGAAGTTGTCAATGTTTGGTACTAGATGCAGAATTTCATCGGTTACCCGGCAACCTGGCAAAAGAAACGATTTGTTATCTTTAAACCTCAAACTTTTTGCTCCAATCCCCTCCCCACTTTCAAAGTCATCAAACTTTTGGTCGGCATCCTGGAAACTCTCTTTGTATTTTGATGACTTATTTTGAAGTCATCAAATTGAAACAATTTTTTTCTGTGTTATTGTCCTTGTGTCCCCTCCCCACTATTTTACAGAAACACTGACGAGGACAAGGCATGCATTTACATTTATGAATATATATTGCTACCCAGTTTTCTGTTATTAATGAACTACTGAGATTCAGCACAAGCTGTTTTAGAAAGGGATAGACAGTTTCTAAATGCTGCTGCCAAGAAACCAGCAGTACATCACAGAACATGCAACCAATTAAAGCTTATGAGCCTTCAGGGATTTACAGAAAACTTGGAAGTCATAAATCAAAGCTTTCTTTTAATTTCCAAAAAGAACAGTCTAACAAGAACAGTCTTTAAATATATAAATATTACTTGGATAGGATACCGCAAGGCTTAAGAACAGCATTATAGATGACAATGTTACCTTCTTGACAGATTTTTAATCAAGAATTGGGTTAATAAATGGCTGCAGATATTGCTATTTTTTTACAATCAGTTCTCTAAGACCAGGAATTCCATTTTAAAAGCTACACAAAAGTCAAATGCAAGTATCAGTCCTAAAGAGTGCAGGAATGATCATTTCACGAAGCACTGGAAGATGCTGTGGCAATATTCCCTACCTCCTTCTCAAATTTAGTTTATGCCCAACCAATTTCACCTGAGATGATGATAATTTCAGTTCCTATCAGAAGCCAGTGATATCTTAAACTTCCCTGAAGCTGCATATACTCCAAGGCCCCTACCTTGCCCCACAAGAGCAACTTCTTAAAAGCCTCAGTATTATAGAAAAGTTAATAGTTATACAAGCTCAAACTATTACAAGATTTAAAAATCTGATGTGAACCTGACTGTATTTTGCTATCTCCAACTTATCACTGAAATAAATCCATAGCTCTTTATCACTTGTGTATGCTTAATATGTATAAGACACACACATTTTCTAAGCAGATGACACACCATACACAAGTCCCACAGTCTCATTTGTTTCTACAGGAAACCAATGGGTAAATTCAGTCAATGGGATAACAATAATAATAAACAAATAATAATAAAAAGGCACGAAGACCTCTCCCCCAACTTCAAAATATTTGACTTCAGCTTCATATTCCAAGTCTGTTCCAAGTCCAAAGACTTGACAAAGAACTTAATATGCAAAACTAAATACCTACCGTTAAGACTTCGTATGCATCTAATATCTAAATTTTTAAGTAGACTATCATCTCGGAGGTCTAAGTCTTCAGGAATAGTTTGCAGTGCTAATCTTGCAAATAAAATATCAATCTGAGGGAAAAAAAAAAAAGGAATTATTTTTCTTCTGTCAAGTTACAGTACTGTGTAATTGGTATTAACCAGTGGTTAACATAATCCATGTAAGAATGGTAAGTGGCGTGCGTGCACGCACAGAAGTTTTGTTTTGCCACCAAGAGAACTTAACAGGTTGATTATAAAATGGTCTGAAAAAGATTAACAGAGCATCTTTTGAAAGCAGAGTTCATAGCTTAATCACTAGTCTGAAAATACTTTAAAAGTACAAAACTCAAGCAAGTTATTTTGTATAATTATGAAAACTGAGAAGCCTTGATAGTATTCACTGTTGAACAGGTAACTTTATGCAGATACCCACAGAATAAAGAACCCTGCAATTTTCTAAGGGAAATGAGCTAACAGAACCCAGCTTTGGCATTCTTCTCTCCCTTCCTGCTTTCTCCAAACCCACTGTAGGAGAGCTAGGCCACTAGGCAGCAAATAGGATAGAAACAGACCATGCAAAACAATGCCTTTGGTCAGGTGTAAACCAAGTCTGAAAAGTTGAGGATGAAAGGACTACCCAATTTCTCTTTAGCATTAGATTTAAAGACCTAAACAAGACACTGAGCTTCCTGTAATACAAGGTGTTGAAGTAAAACTGAATTTAAGTTTTACTTAAAGTAAATACAGTGAGCTATTGAGAGCCAAAAATTTAGGCCACATTAGTTTGCTGATCTACTTTACAGAATCCTAATATTGGCATTATTCAGGACTTCTGAACTCAATTTCCATGAAATGGAAATCAGTACAAGTGTGTAACAGAGCCTAAATTTAAAAAACACAAAAGGTATCTTATATACAACTTCAATTATATAAAGACATTTTTTCAGTCTTATGGTCTCATTTAAATTGCACAACTGCAGATAAATACAACTCTTCTCAAGTATCCAAGTGTGAACACTTAGTGACTTTATAGTCACTTTAGGCAAAGGATAGTCACTTTAATGGCATATTAGTGAAGATTACGTAAGTTATGGAGAACTTGAAAGCTTTCTTTTCAACCATGTTCTACTAAAACAATATAAAAACCTCTTTACCTCTATTCCATCGAAACAAAGTTTAATAACTGGGACAAAAGCTTCTTCAACGGCCTGGGGAAAAGAGAGTTACATTTTATTTCCAGCAGAGAATAACATTTACAAGCAATAGCTAGCAGCTCTGAACAATGAAACACTGTTTGTATTGATTCTTTCCTTTTTCTGAGCTCATTATTTCCCTCAGCCAATTTCTTTACCACTGAAGACTTGCACCGTAAGGACTTAAATACTACACTTTTCTGTACTACACATTACCATATAATCACAGAATGTTTAAGGTTGGAAGAGACCTTCCAACCTTAAGCATTCCAACCCTTCCAACCTTGGAAGGGTTTACAGTTACTACATGTTAATTGCAGCCCGACCTCACAATGACCAGCTCTCACAACATTACCTCAAGGTCTAACTCTCCTTCTCTGTCACTGCAGGACGTCAAACATTCTTTACTCCCCACAGCATCTCTGAACACACTTGAGGCCAACCTGTAGGTACTCTAGAGGCCTCTTCCTCCTGTTTTTTTCAGAGTAAGCATCTTTCTGGGCAACAAACAATGAAATAACTGTATGACTATGCAGTGACTTCATCTAATCCAGTTGGGAGTCATCAATCCACCAATCTAACATCTTTCCTAAACATATTTAATTTTGGTTAGTTCTGTAACCCTTCTGAAATGGACATCTAAACATGTAGACGACTGCTCTTCTAAGAGCAGAGTATTATGACATTCTATACACCTTCCTAATAGGAAGAAAACAGAAACTGTTAGAAGTTAAGCATAGTTTTAAGAGCGTTCCAGGTGTTAAGAGGAGAAAACAGCACCACTCTTCACAATCAGTCTCCTGGTTGGTAGGATGGATCCTAAATAAGATGTGAAACTAGGCAAGTATCCCTAACTTACCCACTAAACCAACATCTTTTCCAAGTCCAGATTCAGCATCATGCACATTCTAAACCTTCATGCTACAGCAGCTACATAAATTTGAATCATTGCCAAAAAGAGAGTTATCAAAAGATTAATTAGAAACCTGATATTATAAAAATGTTCTGGTGCACTCAATTGATTCAGTACACGCTATATCACAATCAGATGCTTGCACTACACTGATACTCGTACCAGTATGGAATACACACTGTGAACGTGCAGAGCCAGTCTATTTTATGATAGAACAGGACTAAATCAGAGTTTAACACTTGCCAATAATAATCTTCAATTAAAAGAGAAAGAAGAGAAACTTTGAACAAAATGAGTGCTGAGAATAAATTTCTTACTAGCTGACCTAAGAAGGCTTCTCATTCAGATACAGTGCAAAGAGAATACTATATAGCAGCACCTCTTCCACTCTTAGAGGAAAAAAAATCATCTTTACATGTTAAATGTCTTGCACAAGCATTCAATAATGGAACATGCGCAAAATATAAAGGTTACCTTCATTTTCAGATGCAAAGCTGACAGTCAAAATAGTTTTTCTTAATATCACAGTAATGGTTAATAAAACCTTCTATGTACTTTCATGCTTGTAAAACCTTCCTTAAAAACATACGTAAGTTCTCTTGAAAAGGACCAGAGCCAAACCCCTGTATTTACATCTGATTGCTGCAACAGACATGGCAGATTATTCTGCCATCCAGGAAAAAAGAACAGAGAAGACTTAGAAGGATCTCAAGTTATTTCAAATATTTTCATAGGCTTGCTCTGAGGAAAAACTCACTGCAAACCTTAACAATAAAAGAGATTTTTGTTTATTTTAATGCTTTCTTCCCCACTATGTACCTCTCAGCATCATTACTTATGCTATATCAGAATATTTACATACCCTCAAATCTTTTACTTCTTCTTGTTGTTTTAATTTTTCATAAAATGACGTGAAAAAATCAGTTCTTTCAACATGTCTTGGTGCAACACACAGGGCATCAATATCAGCACCTGAAAGTGTTTATTAGCATAATTAGTTTATTCACACTTCACAATATAAAATGACAGCAATAATTGGAAATGTTTTTTGCAATCAAACAGAAAAAAATAGTTATTCTTTCTATAGCTATTTACAGTGGAAAAGTTATTCTAAGCCAAACCAAATGAAAAGTGTTTTTATATCCATTAAGCATACTAGACATACACATTCTTCCTTTAGCTGTTAAAACATATATATAGTGCCATTTTCAACAATAAATCCTCAAGAGTCACATATAAACCTTTAATTTGCATCTGCTATTTTGCCAACATAACACAAACAGTTTTATTTAGAATGAAGGAAGAAAAGAGATAATTCACAGCAATCTAATAATAAAAACTAAAAAAAAAAGTAACAAAATCTTGCTGATTTTTAAGTATAACATTTACACATATATCATTAGAATTCTTATAATAAAAGTAAGCTTTACCTTTTGTATGAACACCTAATCTATAGGATCCAAAGGTAAAAATTTTTCCTCCAACATTTTCTATTACAGACTGTGGAAGATTCTAAACGGAGCAAATAAAGCTGGTTATTTTACCATAGCAAAGTACAATGAAACAGTTCTTAAAGAAAACAAAAAATATTTCAGAAACCTGATGCTGAGTTGGAAAAATTAAAATGATTCTGAGTACACTCTATATAAATATACTGTCTTTGATGCAGAGGTCTTTCAGGCTTAATTACCGCTGAGATAAGCATTTAGTATTTAAAGGAAAAGTATGAACGCCACTTGAGAGTTATTAGGTAATATTACAGCTACAACACAAATCAGTGCCTCAAATCTGGTATCTGTTCCAACTGATCTACTATTCAGCACACTACTTCAGAGCTACTGAAGTAGAAGAGCAGGGAAAGAGGGGAGTTAGGTCTATTTCTCCCCTCTGCATAACCTGGCTTGACTTCAATTTAAAAAAAAAAAAAAAAAAAAAAAAAAAAAAAAAAAAAAAGTGGGGAATTTCTTTGTTTTGTTTTAAACCAAATACAATATTATTACAGTCTAAAAGCAAGTCTTCAAGATAAGAACTTCTAAAATTGTAATATTAAAAGGAATAAAAAGACCATATACAGCTTAAGCAGCAAGATATATTTAAGGATCTAGCACTGGCTTACATAGTGAATGTAAGTATATTATTAAGACAGGATTCTACATAAATACTGACCAAAAAAGTGGTATTTCTATCTAGAGAGGGGAGAGAAATCTCAAAAATTAGCATTATGATTCAAAATTTTCAACTTCTACAAACTGCAAAATTAGTACAACTCATCAATTTTCCAGTATACAGTTTTCCTGCATGTAGTTTTACCTGCAACTCTAAATGGACAGTGTTAAATAAAATACTGGAAATACATGAAGTCACAGAACAGTTGCACTTGTTTTCCCAGTTTCATCAAGTCTTCCCAAAACTAAGATGCATACTGTTTAAACATAATAATTTTCCTAGAAGTCTTTACATAAGGACTTACGTAAAACACATCCATACCTTGCTTTCACTGATTTCTCGTATCCATTCCTTTACCAGGTTATTTAACTTTCCCAAAATTAGAATCCTATTGATAAAACACCAGAATCACAAAGTTATTGGCAAACTAGTGTTATTTATCAAGATGCTCATCAGCACTATAAATCAACTAGAATAACAGTACAGATATAATTATAGCTCTTGTTTATATATGCATATACATAACACACACACACACACAGAGTCATTCTTACAACATTCTCATTCCATTTACTGAGATACAGTACAACTACATGAACATCAAGATCTGAGAAAACCAGCATGAGAACGTTTACTCACCTACGCTGCAGTTCCTCTTCCTCTTCAAATACACCATAAGGTTTTAGGGTTTCAATTAATTTCTGGGTAAGCATGCAGTCAAACTCCTTGGGGGCAGCTAAACTGATCGGTGAGGTAATGCCATAATGCTTCTGTAGTTGCTGTGTTTGTGATCCCTGGGTCGTAACAGGACTAACAAAGGTAGATAGAGTTACCAAGAGAAACAAAATATAACTTTTTATGTATTCCCATGAGATTAGCAGACACATGCAAACTGGAAGGGGAAGCAAAAGAAAAAAGCTAATGTTAAAAGCTATATCCCAAAACAATTGGTATCAACTCTCATACTAATGACAGCAAAAGGTTTACTTTTTTCTATCTCTAAAAACTGGTTACAAGGTGAGAAGTTAACCATGATTCCTGATCTTTCACATCAACTGACTAACCCTCAAAACATTCACAGACATACAGAAGCTCTGCACATTTTGAGCTCCACAGCACCATACAGTTATCTTTAAGCTGACTTTCTTGCAGGCTTCCACAGCAGAATGGGAGAGGCACAATATCAGCTCAACCCAGGTGGCAAGCCTGCCTCAATGATTCATAAGGATGCTTTCATATAGCCTTGCTGTATGGAGGACTGGGGGGAGGGCAGGGAAAAGGAGTGTCACAGACTGTCTTCCAAAGTATCACAGATGCAAGCAGTGCCACCACCTAAGTTCAAGGGATAGTTCACACTAGGTATTTATCAAAAGAAATTTAGCAGAAACAGATGTGAAGGTAGTAGCATACTATGAATCTGATTATAGGCTTCGTACAACAGCATCTTTGGTACGCAAGCAATAATATGTTTTTTAATAATAGCAATACATCTTTGTGATGTTTATAATCAAAAGAACCTTATTTTCAGAGTTAGGTCAGAACCAGACTTTTAAGACTGAATATGTTAAAACTGAACATACTCTGGCATAATATAAAGTGTCCAGATTCACTGATTACTGTATGCTATATGCCCGTAATTAAAACCTGAATTGATAATAGCGTAAGTAATCATCTATTAAAAACATTTTAAAATATATTCAGCAATAGAGCAAGTTTTAATCTGTAAACTAGACAAATTTTACCTTTAAGAACATTCAGCCTAGCTATTGCTATATTTCAGATATAGAAAAACACAATACTCAAATCTGTATTAATAAGGTTTGACAGTTTTCAGCACTAAATACAAGTGTTGCTTACCTTTTTTAGCAACTTTTCTCTAAATGAGAAATATTAGTCCCCTACCTTTGATTTTTAAAGCAGGAAAGTACATTGAAAAACTCTTTCGTAAAGAACATGAAAGCAACTTAGAAATCAACAAAACATATTATGACCTCTCATCAAAACAAGCAATTAAAACATCGCTATCAGATCAATAGCTATTCAAAACCCTTTCTTTTCTCTCTTACCCGAGAGCTAAAGCAATGCTTATGTAGAGGTTTTAATCTTCAGTACTTAAAAATTATAATCTTCCTATAAAGGATTTTTCTCATTCATCAGCATGAAGTAATATTATTTTTATACTGAACTGTAATATATATCTTAAATATTTTTAATTCAGATAAAACCAGAAAAAGTGGTCTTAATGTCTTTCTGAACACAACTATTAATTTTACTAGAGCAACAGACATAACATCCTGCCAAGAAAAATTCTCATATGTGAAAGTTTATAGCTTATGTAGAAGTTTCATCCTTTCTAAGTGTAAAACTACTACTGTATACAGGTGAAGGATATTTTTGTGAGATTTTCCTCCCTGAAATATAATTGTTCATTTCTATGAAGATAGACCCTTTATATAAAAATATAAACTTTGCATGCAATCAAGAACTCTATGACTGTGAGCTTTTCGCTAAGAAAGTTCAAGGCTACTTCTCCCTGTGCAACCATCCATTAACAAAGAGGGGGGGAAAAAGAATCTAAAAGGAATTATAAACTTTTTTTTAAGACCAGCAACACAAGCAGGAGCTCCACCAGTGAACTTCAGACACCTAGCAGTTACAAAAAATTCATAAAGCATGTCTTACTACACTTCAACATCCCTGTATATGATATTTTGACTTACACCATAGAGGGGAACAATTATTTGACAAATTGAGATTTTCCAGATTCCATATTTTTAAACCAGTAATCTAAAGCAAACATTATTTTAATCTTTATTTCTGTAAAATTTCCCAGATAGTTTCACTGTAAGTTCCACATATCCATAACTAGAAGTTTTATCAAATTTGACACAGATATCAGGCTTCCTTTAAATTGTAGACAAAAATTCAGCTTGATAGATCTTGATTCTAGATTTCTCAAGAAGTCTCAAAAAACAAAATGTCATCGAGTCCTGATCCAGGGAAGCAGGCTCCATAACTCAGTATTGCTGACCAAGCCCCTTGTCTTTAGCCTTTTCCTCCCTACTTAATCCTCTTCAGTTCATTGATACTCTGTTGTAGGGCTACACTATCAACCTCTTAAAGAACTAGCAATTTGAAACGAGGGAGAGAAGAGCATAAATATTTTTCCTTGTCCCTCAAACTACAACATATAAAAAAGAGACATTAGACCATTTCCCTGATTTCTTTCCACAGGACTTATAAGCTTTTTCAGAAAAAAGAGGAAGAAGAAGAAGAAGAAGAAAGAGACAGAGACAGCACATGAACATGATTTCCTTAAACCAGCAGTATCTTAAAGCCTCTATAGCATCAGATCACAGTCACGGGCATGTAACAAATTTTGAAACCATTCACAGAAAGGACAGCTTAAGAAAACTAAAAACAACATATGAATGTGCATCTGTGGGAACTGTTAAGAAAAAAAATACTGCTGTCATGTATTTTACAAAAACAAAAATAGGATCCCGTCAACAGCAAAGGACTGCCCTCCACAAGTTTCACCTGGTTTGAAGGCTCAGGATTCAGTACAGGTTATTAGACTAAAGAGGGCATCTTTCTCAACTCCCTCTGTGTTTCACAAAAGGCTAGTCCAGCTTGGGCATCAGATACCTCTAATGCCCCTTTACCAACAGTGTGGGCAGTAGGTCCAAACACCTCCTACCTACATTTACCATTAACTGATCCGAAAGAGAACTATGAATACCATTTGTGTGCACGTATAGTGGAACAATCCCAGAGGAGTGTGCTCTTCATTCAAACAACAGACAATCAACATAAAGCATGAGGTTTGAGAAGTCTGTGCACTTTCTCTAGCCAGTGATCAAATTATGTCTTTTCAACATTAGCTCCTAGTCCTTCTCTACGCTTAGCAGCAGAAACAGTAATGGATCAATCTAAAGTCCCAGAAAGTGGTTTAGTCACCTGCCCAGAAAACATACGTCATAAACACATACAAGTCTAGGCAGTATTGCCTCTACTTTTTTTGCTCTCAAGATGGATAAATGACTTGCATCCAAGCACTGCATAGACGGATACTTATCATACAAGCACTTTCAGGCAGATATTTACTCTCACTAAATTCAAATAATCTCTAATATTCATAGACACTCCTCACAAAGGTAGTGGGGGCAAAAGGAAGTTTCTCATTTTTCTCTAACCACTAGTATTTTTTATCTCTGAGAAATATTAAATGAGGTGGTGTTTTTTTTGTTTTTTGTTTTTTTTTTTTTTTCCTCCAGAACAATATGTAACGTTCTTAGGATAACTGCCTTCTAGAAGAGTTCAGAAGTCCAGGAGATGCAGCAATGCTTACACTATCAACATTACGTTCTTTTCAACACTAATATATTTTAGGCTAAAACTATTTATATTGAAGCTCAAATATTTATATCAATTAAAGTTTAGCCTTTTCCAAAATTAACTTTGCACACTGAAAGCTACTTGAAGGATGCCTTTGCTAAGTTATAGAAACAAATGGTTCTAGGAATACAAAGTTTAATATAAAGTGATTTAAAGCGTAAATTAACTAGTGCCAAGTAATCAATATTCATGCATTTAAGGGGCAGTAAATCCTCAAAAATGTTCCACAACAAAAGTACTTAATATACCCACTTCTCCTGCACAGTCTCACATAAAGCCAAAAAACAGAGCTTTTGCTATTTGCCTTTTAAGTAAAAAACTGTTGAAACCTAACTTGCAAATGTAACATTAAAGATGAAAAACCATGTTCATCTTACATTTTGGCCACAAAACACTGATGATCAGAGAAAGAATTCTGTTATTTAATTCATTTATGAAACCATAGACCATCCTACACTCCAAAAATATTAGCCTTGAAAGAACATGCACATTTTAGTTTTTTTCCTTCAGTGCTAGCTTTACAGCTAAAAGGACAGAAGTGTCAAATCCCTAATGAGGAGTGGGGGGGATAAGTAAAATTTGCTAGTCATTGTAGTTAAGCATTAACAGAAAGCAAAGAACAGTGAACAGCAACAGAAAGTCCCATCTCAATTAGTCAATCCTAGAAACAGCAGCAACAGATTGGCAGACCTTGTCAGGGTCTGACAGGCAACTCAAAACATTATGCTTACACTAGCCTTTTAAAAAACAACACACGAAGAACAGTTTGGGCTTCCCGCCCCCCCCCCCTCCCCCAGCCCCTCCTATTTGGTTCTAGGCCTCCAAATAAATGGATTAAGATCTTGAACTTTTGCTCCTGTTAATACCTAGCTATCAATAAGTCAGGATAAAACAAGCGCTGCAGAAAAAGGATACACAGTTAAATTTAACGTGCTATTGTTGCTCAGATTTATCCTCAGTGATTGAAGAGCATAGGCTGATAGTTTAAACCATTTGCAAATTGGGTGACACCTACAGTGGCTTAATACTGAAGTATTATGACTCAAAATTTCATCTTCAAATATGAATTAATCTCATCTCAATGAAATGCACCTCTAATGTAACTTTTCATATATACACTGTACTTAAATTTTAGCATTGATTATATTGACAGCAGTATAGCTAAAAGACATTTTTCCTCCAAAAATCCCAAGTTTTTGTAGCTATATTTTCTAATATGGCTATACACACTGAATTAAAGAATAAACCATGGTAATATTGGTAAAGCTGTTTCAGAGAGCAACATGGAGATGCGGGAAGAGGTGGGGACATGACATCTAAAAGGCCTTCAAAGAAAAGTGACTTTTCATTTGCCATAAATGATGATATTGATAAATCTAGTCTTTCTTTCTTACTGGTGGGTCAGCACTCCGAAGCAAAACAGATAATCACACCATCTAATTGAGCAATTGGAACTAAATTCACACAGTTCAAGTTGTTCTGTGTCAAATTTCGGAAGAAAAATTAAGTTTCTTCCAACAATGGTCAAGTTTGGAAATTGGACATAAAAAAAAAAAAAAAAGTTTCTGGCTTAAGGGTAATACTCTGATCCTAAAATAAAGGCATACAGACAATAAATCTGAATGACATCTGTTCAAATTAAAGGGGGTGTTATTTTAAATGGTTAGGACAATCCAGGTATTCTTCCTGAAATAAAATTTTGAATATCTAGCAGAAAACTACTGAATCGTTCAGATCACCTATGCTTTCAGAATTCAGTATTAAAGGTATGTGGAGAAGATCTGAACATAGGTATTTAAGCATTAACAGGCAGCAAAAATTGAGAAGAGGCTCTAAACTCTAGAAATTGAGAAAAGGTTCTAAACTCTAAACAATAGCAGAAAAAATCTTCACAGATTCCATTAACCTTTAACTCACTCTTGAGATCTCCCTGGCTTTTCAGTTTTGGACAACTTCTGCACAATAGAAGAGTGAAAACAGCCTGTCCAGAGAGACACATCATTCACAATGCTCTTGTAAACAACAGTCCCGTAAGATGTTCAAGATTAAATAGCAGAAACTTCTACTGAAGACTGCAACCCTTCTGAAACAGGCTCAATCCCTTTGCAAAGGGATGAATTATTTAATTCCTTCCAAAATGTAGCCTATAAAAATATGAGTTGACTCTGTTCAGAAAGTTGCACTTAATTCACTCACAGTCTCACGCTTAGTCTCACCTTCCTTTCGACATGCCAATTACCAATCACCAACTAAAAGTCAACAAAACAATAATTTTCCTATTTGCTCAAAACAAAACTCAATACTGACGATTCTTAAATCTTTACAGCAATTATGGCAGTTTTAATATTTCAGATATCTGACCCCATATATTTGTCCACTTTTGATAAAGTCGATCACAGTGATTTCAGCAGATACAGAAGTTCAGCTGACAAGCTGCATATTAACTGTTTAGCAAGAAATAGATTCATATTATCATTTCTCTGCCTGGTGGGCCAGAAGGCCCAAACTAGATAGAAAGGGAGCTTCATCCATTAACAGGAAAAATAGTTGCTGTTTCATTGATCTGGTAGCCTTTCTGCATACAAGGCAACCCTAACAAACATATTTTATTATTACGTTTCAGACAATACATAGAAACAAGTGCTCTGGAATATATCTTTGTATTAAAGGAAGCATCTACCCTCATTTCCAGCAAGCATTTTCCAGCTTTTTCAAATAATTAAAAGTTAAAGACTTCTCCTTTAAGCAGTTGCTACCTCTTCACCAGAGGTTACCATTTTCAGTAAACACTCATAGAAATTCCAAGAATATTCATATTTTTATTGAAGCCTTAGAAGGCATTTGGAAATGTCAGCTATTAGCATCACCAGAACCTGTGCTCACTCTCTTGCTGCTCAATGTCTTGTTAAAAAAAAATAAAATTAAATAAATCATTTTTATAGTTTGTGCCACTTGTGCTTAAATAATCCCCCACACACAGCATCAGAACTGCTACACATAAGAGACAGAATTGCTTGCTGAGAATTCTGAAATAATGCTTTGAAGGAGTGATGATTCTCATCTCTAGTTGTGTGGAAGATGAGGTCTGAGTAGGCCTGTCAACTGCAGACACCACCCTAAAAAGCCTAAACATCGCAAATATATTTAAGTAACATTAAAGTTCATCATGAACCTCCCCCCATTAGGAAAAAAATACAATGTCATTGTCAAGCACTTCAAATTTGAATTAGTAGCCCTATTAACTTACTAGAAGAAGCCCAAGTTTGAAATACTATTACTAAACATTTGGTATTTACATAGTTATAACAAAATAAACAAGAATGAAAGTGTAAAGTATAAACACCCTCCCATCTTCCTGGAGAGAAGAAAGAATCCTAGTCAACTTCATAGCTAAGGTTCTGGGAATTTTTCACTGTTATAAGGAAGAGCAGCAAAACTTATCTATGAAGACACTGCAGTGTGGTTACACAAGCCTCAGCCTAACTGTTTTTTCCTTCTGTGTTCATCCACTCTATTTTCTCCATCATAAACTTAGTCAGCTAAGTTTGCCTTATCTACACCATGACTAATACAGAATTGTTTTTAGACTGCGAAGTAAGCACAACAGAGAAAGAAAGCAGATCTTTACATAAACCCTACAGGTTTAGAATCATAGCTAATGCAGTAACTTCAATTTTTTTTTTTTTTTTTTTTTTTTCTATTTGTATTTCACCTTTAACGCTCAAAAGGGCACGCCTGAGGAGTAAGGGCCACTTAACCACGTGCTCGTGGAGGGTTTTCTCGACTTAAGATAAGAGTAGAAACACCATGGATTAAGACACTGAGGAAGTGGAAGTTCTACAGTCTCAACCTGGCCCTTCAAAACATTAAGAATAACTGAAAAAAAAAAAAAAAGAAAAAAAAAAAAGAAAAAAGGGCAGGGGCGAGGGCAAGCCAAGAAACGGAGGTGAAGTTCTCAGCCGCAGCACGGCCGCGGCCAGGGGCGCGGCGGGTCCGCAGGACTAGGCCTCAGCTCGGACGGAAAAGCCCCTCGGCCGCCGGGCGGCGAATGGCGGCGGGCGGGGGCAGGGCAGGGCGCGCGGCCACGCGCTGGAGCGGCCAGGGGGCGCTCGGCGGGCGCTGCGAGCGGAGCGGCCGTTCGGGGCCCCCCCGGGCCGGGCGGCCCTCGCGGCGGCGACGGCCCCGCTCCGGGGCACAGGAAGCCGCCCCCGCGCCGCAGCCCCCCGCACGGGAGGGTGGAAGGGAGCCGCTTCACGCGGCGAGCGGGTTTGGCGGCAATCTTTGAGAGCGGACAGAAAATAAATAAGTTTTTTTGAAGCGCTTCGTCTTTTGCGGGAGGCTGGAAGGCCCGGGGAGGCTCCTCCCCACGCGCCCGCGTTCCCGCCGGGCTCAGGCGCCCCCCGCTCGGCCAGCACGGGCAGCCGCGCTGAGCAGGCGACACCAAGGACAAGGCGCGAGCCCCTGCGCACCCGCCGCGGGCTCGCGGCGCCGGGAAGGCGGGAGGAAGAGCGTGCCGGCGAGCGGCGGCGCCGCGGCCCCTCACACTGCGGCACCGGAAGAGCGCCAGGCCGGAGGGGCAGCACGAGCCGGGGGAAGGGCGAGAGCGGGCAAGAGGGCCCGGTGCGGAGGCGCCGCGCGGGCATGGACAGGGCAGAGGCCTTTCGGGCGCCCCGCGAGGCATCCAACTTACAACGGCATCGTCTCTCCGGCTCCTCCTCCGCTGCCGCTGCCGCCACCGCGTCTTCCCCTTCTCCCTCCTCTGCTTCCTCGTCCTCCCCCACCGCTGCTGCCTGCGGAACCGGTCACTCCTCCCGCCGAGAAGCGGGGGCCGTGATCATGGTACGGGCCGGGCTCGGGCCCCGGGGGAGGAGAGCGCCGCTCGCCGGGCCGGGCCTGGCCTGGCCTGCCCGCCGCCGCTTCACTTTCCTCTTCCCCTCCGGCCTTCTAACATGGCGCCCGGGCGCTACCACGGCAACCTTCTAGAACGGGGGGGGGCCTGCGCCGCGGCGCGGCCACCCCCGCACGGCGCGCACGCTGGCTCGCCCGCGCATGCGCGCGGGCCGCGCGGCCGGCGAGCAGCCTGGGAGTCGTAGTTCGGGCGCGGGGAGCGAGCCGCGTTTTGAAAACAAAGCGCTAACGGTCGCGCGGCCGCGCATGCGCGGCGGGGTGCGCGCCGCGCCGCGTGCTGAGGTGGCCTGTGGCGACCGCCGCCTGCTCGGGTGGCCCGGGGGCGTCAAGGGCGGAGGGACGAACTGTGAGGGCTGTGCTCTGCTGGGGCGGCCCGAGGCCGAGTCCTTCTGGGAGGTCTGTCCGGCTTGGCACGGCACAGCCTTCAGAACGAAATGTAGCGGCAAAGCCCTGGCTCCGGCTGCACGGCTTCCGCAAGAAATTCTCATAGAAAAGGGGAGGTTCTTTCCACCAAAAAAAGTAGGAATTTAAAATTACAAGTTAATCTCGAAAGGGTTCATAAGATAAACGACAACGTGGATGAGTAATTTATAACAATTACAGATCTTTCATTCTTTAAAATAAAAAAAAAAAAGGAGAAAAGTGATAATTCTGATTTCTGTTCATGACGCTGATCAATGACAAGACTTTGTGATTGTTAAGGCAGCCAAGATGAGACTTAATTAAAAACAAAATGTTTAATATCACAATGCTAGTTTTTATTTTGTTTTCATCTCCTCTGTCCAGCAGTCCTTGCTCTGTTTTTGCAATATATTAACATATTTGTTTTACAACAACCAAATTATCACTTTCTGCTTAGTCAGCATGGCTTTATCAGCAGGTTCTGTGAAAGGTGTATGAAATCAATAGGAAAGGGGAATAGCAGCCAAACTAATCAATAGGAAAAGGGAATAGCAGTCAAACCATACCTAGAAAAGGGGGGTGACAGCTGGACATAGTTGGAAAAGTAACTGTGACCCAGCTAGAAACTCCAGATGTTTCTATGAAAAAGAGATATTAAGCATGAATAATGGAGAAATGGTAAATGTCATGAAAATTGTACCAATATGTATGGTACCCAAGAAAATCCTAACACTTGAAGGTTTTTACTAGGAAAACATTCATGCAGCCAGTCCTTGGCCAAGACTAAGAGGTCTGTGTTGCTCTCCCTTTTTTCTGTGGTTAGCTGATAGACGAAGAGAAGATACCCTGTTAAAAAATATAATTTGTTTGTTTTTCTTAAAACAGCTTAATGACAGAACGGATTCTTAGTGATGTAAGCCTTTTTTTTTTTTTTTTTTTTTTAAATGAGCAAAGGAGGTAAGAGACCTTTTTCTATTTGTTTTAATTTTCAGCTAAAATAACCTTTCATTTTTGATTTTTTTTCCCTCATTCAAGAGAGATCTTGAATCTTCTAATTGAAGATCTTATGGATCACAATTTCAAATAAATAAAATATGGATGCATAAACGATGTCTATTAATTATTGTTCTGGTAGAAGATACATTAAAGAACAAATAGAACAGCATATGAATAACAGTACAGTGAATAATACAATATGGGAAATAAAGAGGTTATATAACAAGCCTAAACAACAAAAGAAATTCAAATGCTAAGTATTTTTATGGTGAAATGCATTAGAAGTGTTCTTCTATTACACGATATCTACAGCTGTCAGGATTTAAGGTTTATCTCCCTCAATTTCAGGATTGTTCTTGAAGAGATATTCTGCCTATAAACAGAAGATTTTCAAAGTTACAGATATCAAGTGCCTAGATTTAAAAAAAAAAAGATACACAAACTAACAAAAACGGTTGCTTTAAACAAAAAAAAATCTCAAAAAGGATGAGGGTGTGATCCTCCACTAAAAACTAAGATGTGATCTCTGACAGAGAGGCTAGTGAAACCTTTTCTTCACAGCTGCTACCCAGCCCATTTTCCAGGTTAGTTAGCAGGGAGCCCATCCCTCACGGGCTATTAGCACAGCCTTTGCACTCCATGGAAAGTTCTGGGTGGGAGTAGCCTGGGGCCTGACTGCTGCACCCAAAGGTATAGATAGTAATAGATAAGATAGTTCTTGCAAGAGGAGATCTCAGCCTCCTACCACTACAGATATTTAACACTCTGCTGTCACTCATCTCTGTTTCTGCCAGCCCCTAGGTCACTGCAGAGCACGTAGAAAAGTTGGGAGCTCACATGCCACAACCAATTCTAATAGTGATTATTCTCCTGCTACTGCATAGTAAAACTAGATATCTTTAGTTGTCAGTGTTAACCACACCATTGAAGAGCAGTCAGAATATTCTTTGGGTTTAAAAGCAATTACTGCTGTCTGGAATTGCAGGTACTAACCACCACTGAATTGTGGTAATCAAAATGGGAAACAAGAATTCCCATTCTTCTCTCATCAGAGAGATTCTTTGGGACTAAGTGAATAATTCCACTAAGCTTTTAAAAATATATTTAAGGAAAAATCATCAATAAACAGACACACACACTATCACCTTACCAGAAAATCGACTGGATCCTCTGGCCTGATCTTACAGCATTCGTTTAGCCCTTGCATAAGTGTTGGCATGACATGCTTCATTAAGTAGTTTCGTAAGGGAATGGATTGGGCCTCCAGTAACTCTTCTTCTTGTCTCTTCACTTCTGCCAGACGTTTGTTCTACAAATAATGAACCAGAGAATAAAATGTATAACACTTAACAAGTAACACTTGACTAAATAATAATGGCGGTCTCAAGAAATAATAAGGATTAAAAACCATGAACATTAAAAAAAAAAAAAAAAAAAACCCACACACTTAATAGCACCATTATGAACTTTTTATTAATTTTGGAGCATAGTGCTTGCTAAGGAAAGTGAACCAAGCATGATGAAAACTAAAATAGTGTACCTTGTAAAAATTTTTTATTTCTCACATCTTTTACACCTAAATGGAAGTTTATTCTGTTTTGCATACTTCTATTTCTATAAGGTATTTGGCAAAGTGCCTGGAAAACACTAGTATGTGTCAATTCAAAAAATCACTGCTATTACAATTGCAGATAATTTATTGAGAGATTTTTCAGCTGGGGGCAGGAGAGTTTTTTAACTCTGTGAAGAGCCTTGACTCTCTTAACTGCAAAATGTATTAAATTTTTTTTTTAAGACTTTTTTTTTCCCCTGGGAACAGAACTTAATGTGCTAAAATGCCAGTGGGTTATATCTCTTTACATCAGCTACCATTATCCTTGTAGTCCAGTCAAATCTGATAAAATGATTACACTCATAAAGTAAAACAAACAAAAAAGGTGCCAAAATTTGAGTTAGCCTTTTGTTATTTAATAGTAGTTAAGAGCATCTGAACTTGCAAGTTTTAGCCAGACAGCTACTCAAACATTTATTATCCTCTCTTCTCTTGTGTTCAATAGTAGCCTAAGTCATAGACAGAGCAAGCAGGAGAGACTGAAGAAAAACAGAGAGATTACCCTTCTGTACCCAAGCATGACACAAAAAGCCATATTCTAATACAACTGAATTACCTGATTCATCCTATCTAGGAGTGATATTCAATAAATCATCTGGTCTTTGGGCACTCTATCCAGAAATTGTAGCTAATCTACAATCTCAAAGGTAAATGAATCTTGCTTAGATTTTCCTGAGTACCTGCCTCTTTAAACACACATTTTACTTAAATACCTATTTTAGATTCAAATAATGTGTAGTTTGCTTTCCTTGAGGTTAGATGGCTTTGAATTGGATGTAGATAAAAACGTGTTAACTATCCTTGCTAACCTTTCAAATAATCTTCCGGAGAGAACAAAATGCTATTTAATCTTGAATGAAACTGAAAATAAACATAGAGATGACAAGCCAACATCAGAGCAATATAAAAGCTTGTTTAAAAGTGGGCAATTCCGGGGTATTATTTCCCCATAGATATGGGTGCACATCCACATATAAGAAAATAATTCCTCCTCAGAATGATCAGTTTGTTTTAAATGTCTCTAAAAGGAGACAATAGAAGAGCTGCCTTCTCGTGAAGCAAGCTGACTTTGGGTGAGAATGAAAAAAGTTACTGCAGTGTCTGTTTCAGGTATTCCTCACTAAAATACCACCTAGCTCCTGATGGTGCTACTCCTGCACAATGGGATTGCAGAGAGCTCGAGTGCAAACTGGAATATTGATCAGACTATGTGGAGCTAAAAGCCTTGTTAGAAAGGCAACCCCCCAATGGCAAAATATGATAGAATGAACTCTATGTATGTTATATTTTACAAGCTTAAGTGCATACACCACATTTCCAAGCATAACAGATAGCAGGAAGCCCCTTTATTTCTACTTTTTAAATCACAAATACAAATACTTGCCCAGAAAAATATAACTTACCCACTCTATCCACTTTTCCTTCCTTTCAGCCCTTTCCTCAGCTTCTCTACGTTCTTGCTCAGCTGCCTCTTTAGCTTCTTTGGCAAGGCGTTCCTCAGCTGCTTTCCGTTCTAAGTTTTCCTTTTCTTCATCTGTCAAACCATAATTCCGAGGTTCCCCAATTTCTTTGATAATCTCTTTTACAATAACTCTGTTCTCAGGATCTTCCAACTTGACTACATCTTTTAAACAATAGAAGAGATTTTTTTTTTCAGGGATTTTATCGATTATTAGTGATTGTTAGGGAACAACAACAATATATGGTGACCATATTGTTTGAATTCTCCATTATAAAATGTTATTTTCAGGTGTCTCTAAGAGAAAACATTTTGCTGTATAAATTAAATTTTCTATACCTGAATTCCTTTACAATTTCAGCTAAAATAAATTATTTTTCCAAGATGATGATACAGAAAAAGCTAATAACTTTTTTTTTTTTTTTTTTTTTTTTTTTTTTATGTTTTTCTCAGCAGTTGTAACTTGGCTATGTTTTGAAGCTTGAAAAATCAGGTCAACAAAGCATTTGAGTTGTTCCTTCAGCCAGGCTTATGTCAAGTCATGCAAATTTTTGAAACTGTAAGCTTCTGAATT